TCCTGGTCTCACAATGGCCTGGCTTGGACCCATTTTGGGTGTCGGCCACGTCTGAGAGCACAAAAGAACAATAGGTGTTCTAAACTCACATTTCACAACATTACCACCCATGTTCAAGCCAGTATTGCACGCCATTCCCACCTGTTCTGTTTCTGGGAAGCAGCTCCTAATTTTACTTGTGTGTAGGTTGCAGTGTTCAGCTCTGCCACTGCCTGTTCATTCAGGCATTGATAATTTTTTTTTCCCCAACTGTCTTTCTTTTTTAAATAACAGTTTTATTGAGATATAATTCATGTATCATAGGATTCACACTTTTGAAATACACAATGCAGTGGATCATCAATTATGCAACTATTAGTATCTAATCCTAGAACTTTTCATCACCCTAAAGATTAGCTTATTCTGGAAATTTCATATAAATGGGATCCTACAATGTGTGGCCTTTGGTGTCTAGCTTCTTTCACACAGCATAATGTTTCCAAAGTTGACCCATATTGTAGCATGTGTCTATACCTCATTCTCTTCCTGTGGCCAGGTAATAGTCCGTGGTATGGATATACCACATTTATCTTATCTATTCATCAAGTTGATGGATATTTGGGTTGTTTCCATTTTTCAGCTATTAGAAATATTGCTGCTGTGAACATTTGTGTACAGGTTTTTGTGTGGACATATGTTTTCATTTCTTTTGAGTATATACATAGGAGTAGGATTATTGCATCATAGGATAATTTATATTTAATATTTTAAGAAACTGCCAAACTGTTTCCCAAAGCAGATGAATAATTTTCACCATTCCCCTTACCCCTCGCCCCAGCAATGTCTGAGGGTCCCAATTTATCCACAACCTCAGCAACCCCTGATGTTAACCATTCTAGTATAAAGTGATGCCCAATGGGGTTTGACTTGCATTTCCCTAAATATGAAGATGTTGAGCATCTTTTCATTTGCTTATCAACCAGTAGACAACTGGGATAAGGTTTATTCACATCTTTTGCCCACTTTTAAACTCAATTGTATTTTTGTGAGCTGTAAATTTTCTTTGTATATTCCAGATACAAGCTCCTTATCAGATATGGGATCTGCAGATATTTTCTCCCATCCTCTAAGTTGTCCCTCACTTTTTTTGTTGATGTCTCTTGTTAATTTTGATGAAGTCCAGTTTGCTTTTTCTCCATTGGTTGCTTGTGCTTTGGGTGTCATAGCTAAAAATATTTCCTACTCCAAAGTTGCAAAGGTCACTCTTCTGTTTTCTTCTAAGGGTTTTATTCTCTGACATTTATGTGTTTGATCCATTTTTTTAAAATTTATTATTTATTTATATATTTTACAATACTGTGTATTTCCTGTAAAATTCCAACACCATCGTGCCCGTGAACCATCACCATAGTCCCTTATGCTTTTCCTCCCCCGCCCTCGCAGAATGTCTCTGATCTATTGTTGCCTGCTAGTTTTATTATTATTATTATTGTTTTTTTTTCTGATCCCTTATTTGGTTCCCCTATATTTCTCCTATAAGTGAAACCATCCAATATTTTTCTTTTTCCTTCTGGCTTATTTCACTGAACATGATCCCTTCTAGCTCCATCCACATTGTTGCAAATGACATGAGTTTACATAGTATTGCTACATAGTATTCCATGATATATATATACCACATCTTCTTGAGCCAGGGTTGTTTTTGTATCTTACCTATTGTAAATAGTGCTGCAATAAACATAGGGGTGCAGGTATTCTTTTGAATTAATGTTTTTGTGTCCTTTGGGTAGAGTCCTAGGAGTGGAATTGCTGGGTCATATGGTAGCTCCATTTTCAGTAGTTTGAGGAACCTCCACACAGCTTTCCCTAGTGATTGGACCAGTTTGCATTCCCAACAGCAGTGTAGGAGTTTCTTTTTCTCCACATCCTCGCCAACATTTGTTGTTGCCTTTTTTTTTTTTAATGTGTGCCATTCTCACTGGTGTAAGGTGGTATCTCATTGTGATTTTGATTTGCATTGTTCGATCCATTTTGAATTAATTTTTGTGCATAATGTGAAGTAGGCATCACCTTATTCCATAAGTGGATATCCAGTTATCCCCCATTAGATATGTAGTTTCACTCTGTGCCAGGTACTATTCTAGTATCCAGATAAACAGAGCATAGCTGTGGGCCCTCAGAGAGCTTGCCATCAGAGTGAGGGCATCACATAGAAGTAGAGAATAACAGCATGGTGTAATAATGTGTGTATGATGCCTAGCCTTGTGCCTGGCCCATAGAATGTTTATAGAAAAGGGTAGCTATAATAATAATAATAATAGCTGCTATTGTTATAAATAATAATAGCTGCCAATGGGAAGATGTGTACAAAGTGCTGTGGAAGGAATTTCTCCATGTCTTGAGACTGGCTTCATTATGGGCCACCCCCCAGCACTTCTGGAACCCAAAAGAGGAAAGGCACCGAGAGATAGGCCTCTTAAAGGCCAACTTTTTTGAGAGAGGAAGGACTTCAGGTAGGTTTGTCACGAAAACAACTGATTTTCTTGTCCTTGTGAGTGTCAGCTTAGGACAGGGTTGTATGATTGCTGGCTCCTGTTCCAGCCTGTATCCAGGCGAGAATGACTTCCTTCATTTGTAGAGATCTGCAGGCACTTGAGGGAATCTTAAAGGCTGGTTGTGAATTATAAAATGTTTCAAAATAGATTGAGTACCTTGTCTTGAATATTACATAATGATGGCTTAAAAATCTCTATTCTCTGCACATAGAACATCCTCAAATTGACCTTATAAAGTGTAGACCAATGGGGAATTTTCACATGGAAGTTACTCTTTGTGAAACATCATAAAATGTTAATTTATTCAATCCTATCATATGAGCTAATCTCTTAGCAGTAGGAAGTATGACTGTGTGTGAATGTGTGTGTGTGTGTGTGTATATATATATATATATATATATATATATACACACACACACATATATATATATGGCTGTGTGTGTGAATATATATATAATCTTGGGATACACATTACAAAAGTTCTCCAGTTATAGAAAATAATTTGAAGAACTCACTTTTCCAAGTTTTCCCATTGTCATTTGCTTTGTCATCTGTTAACATGCGTTAGCAGAAAAATGAGAACAGGCACCATTAGTTTAAGAGCAATATGTTGGGAAAAAAACTTTAAATTGAGCACATACCAAAAATTAACATAATCTAACTTTAGCTCAAAACACTGCAGTTCAGTTGGATAGGGTGCAGTGGTTTCAAAGAAGGATAATTTTAGAATCATGGATCCAGAGTTTAAATAGACATTTAAACATATTCTATTTTATCCAAGAAAAAAAAAGTTTTCGTGTCTGGTTTTAATATTATATCAACTATGGATTTTTATTCAGTCTTCATTCAGCTCACCAGGCATTTATATGGAAGAAACCCCATCTAGGTGTGTGTCCTGAAGGAGTTTATGAGTAGAGGACACGCACGTGCAATTCACGCAAGTGCAATTCAACTCTGCCACTTACAGACTGTACCTTTAGGCTTGTTTTATACTTAAGCTGTGTCTCGGTTCAGAACTTGCCTCAGGAATTGTTGCGAGAATTAAATAAAATCAATACTTATAAAGCCCAGGGCATCGTTAAACCTTAATAAATGTTAACTATCATTATTTAGTTGCTGGGCAATAAAAAATTATGAACTGCCTGTGCCATATTATAGTTTACCAAGTGCTTACACATAGCCGCTGAGTCATTTGAGCTTCACAGTCACCTCTGGATTCTGGTCTTCCTAGTCACTTACCATCACGGCTAACAAATCACTCTAAAACAGAGCCATGAAACAACACCCATTGTATTATGCTCACCGATTCTGTGAGTCAGGAATTCAGACAAGGTTGAACAGGAATGGATTATCTCTGTTTCTGTAGTGTCTGAGCCCACAGTGGGGCCTGAGAGGACACAGATGGGCCTTCACACAGCCATCTGGCACTTTTGGAGCTGACTGGAGGTTATGCTGGGACTGTCCCCTAAGCACCTACATGTGGCCTTTCCACCAGGGTAGGCCTCAGGCTGGTCTTCAACTTCTTGGAGTACTGCTGCAGCAGGAGCCATGTGCCTTTTACGACCTGGCCTCAGAGGGCAGAGCAGACATCCCCCGGCCTCCATAGGGTGGAAGCAGTCACAAGCCCCCTCCACCCCCATCCCAGGCCAAGGGAAGGGATATAGACCACACCTCTGGATGGGAAGCTTATCAAAAAATTTGGGGGGCTATGTTTCAAAATGACTATACTGGTATTATTCCCAAATTCTAGACAAGGGGCCTCCCTGGTTGTGCAAGGAGTTAAGACACAACCTGTGAAGCTGTCCACAACTTATGAAACATGAGTTTGATCCCCGGCCAGCCAGGGAGCAACCCACATGGCACAGCAGACCTCTCCTGTCTCGTCTGCTGCTCCCCTCAGCAGTGTATTTCAGTCAGTCCACCTGTTCTGTTCCCTGCTCTGTCTCTGGTGAATCCTCTCACCCCCTGCACCTCTGGCCTGTACCCCATCTCTTGTATACATAAATAAATCTTTTTAAAAAAAATTCTAGATAAGAAAATTGGGACTCAGTAGATACTAAATGACATCCCCAGGTTACTTGCACAGATAGTAACTAAAATAGTTGGGGGGCAGGGAATGAGGAAGGCTTGAAGGAGAACAGCTTCTAACCTAATTCTTCGGACTCCAAATTCTTGTTCTTTTAATTAGATTATTCATCCTCATTGGCTTGCATATACTTCCTAATAGGTGAAATTTTGCAGAAAAAAATTTAACTGGTTTTGAGTATATTAAGTAACTTTCCTAAAAGGATACAAAGATATAAACATACAAGGTTTGCATTTATGGGAGCTGGTCCACACACTTTGTATTGTAAGGATGGATTCCATGCCAAGATTGGCCAGAGAGCAACTCTGTATCATTTTCTCATGTGAAAAGGCCTCTGGAAATGTCCCAGATGCTTAACAGTGACTTCATTTGTTTTCTAGGAAAATCTCACCTGGCCATTGTCCAGCGGGTGAATAATGAGGGAGAAGGGGATCCCTTCTATGAGGTGATGGGCATTGTCACACTGGAGGACATCATAGAAGAGATCATCAAGTCAGAGATCCTGGACGAAACTGACCTGTACAGTAAGTGTGTGGCCTTGACTGTTGTTCAAGGTCATCCTATTTTCCTCCACCCTCTCGGCTCCACTAAGCTGACTTAGTCCCAGAGCCAGCCCCACGCACTGCAGTGTGATTTCAGGCACTGGCACAGCAGGATGCTCTGGATCTTGAGTCACCCCTGAGCGACTGAGAACATGCTAGCTAAGTGTTTGTCAGGCAAGGTGCCTTCAGGAACTGAGCCAGAACAATGAAAAGGAGACCTCCTGGTCTGTGGATGGAGAAGGAATTCTAGGAAACAAAGTATAAGCTCAGATGAGGCCAGAGGCTGCTCTGCCCTCATTTCTGTCCCCTCTGTTGTCGCTGTTTTGCCTCTTAGTCCACCGAGATGCGGACCCCAGCACCCCTGGCTTCTGCTCGCAATCCACCCACACTGAGGCATCAGCACACAATGGGACTGTCAGGAGATTGCCACCCGCAACCTCAGCTCACACCCTACATGTTCCTACTAGACACGGCTCTCTCCCTGTGCTCTTCCAGCCCGCCCCTGCTTTCTCCTGTCCCGCCCTTCCCCACCCTGGCTCCTGTCCCTGCACCCTTCTTTCTGGTCTCCTCACCCACCCTCCTACTCACTCCTCCCTGGAACACTATGGACTCCTCTGTGCAGTGATCGCTTTTGGTGACTGAGCCTTATCAAAGCTTTGCTTTCAGATATCACAAAGACACGCTCTGTCTCTGGGATGGGGGTGTTATCTAAATCCATGTTAGGCCAGGAAGCATTTCCTGCTCTGAATTTCATCTTGTTGGACAGCAATCCCTTTTCTGCCCCTGAGATCCCATTCCAGAACCTTTCCTAGCTGGGCGCTGCCTTTCAGAAACCAGTCCCGGCCACTCCCCCACCCCATCAGGCAGTGGGTGGTGCAGGAAGAGGAGCACCTTCTCTTTGGACCACGAGCAGGTCAGACCTGTGAGGTAGACACAGCGTAGCCTGCCCCCCAGCCCTTCCTCTTCTGACAGGGGTGAAGCCAGAGAGGTGCTTTCCCTCCTTCTGCCTTCTCCCTTCTCTGCCTCTGCCCACCAGTCCTCATTTAGGATTTCCAAGGCTCTGGGTAGATATATGGGTGAAGACACTGGCACGAAAGTGTGAGCAGTCTGAAAATGAGCGAGCGCCTCCTGACTTACAACCTTCATGCTCCAACACTGTTAAAATCACAAGGAACATAGACTATGGCAGAGGGTTATGGGTGCCTTTGTGGAAGCTATGGTGTGGTAATATGCATCTGAATCATATATTGTTGTAAACCAATGTTACCTCAATAAAATTATTGATTAATTAATTTAAAAAATCACAGGGAACAAAGGCGATCAGAGGAGGGAGGGGTGTTTAGGCAGAGCACACATACGATTTGTGACAATAAAAGAGTGGGTGGGATTCCTGAATTTGCTGCTATTGCCTGGGTCCATCTTCTAACTGAGAGGCTTAGGGCTTCCGCCTCAGGAGCTCTGAGGCCACAGAGCCGGGAATGCTGTTTCTCCTTCCCTGACACCAAATCACACAGGGGTCTGGATCTCCCCACTGTGGTGACCCCAACAAAAGCAGCATAGAGTGGGGGCCAGGTCACTGCAAAGACCCAGCCTGCACAAGAACTTACCCCCAGGCCAGATTCAGAGGAAACCGAAACCGAAACCCCTCCCTACTGCCCTGGGTGCAGGAGAGACAGGTTTGCAGTTTCAAAGTTTTATTCAAAACTCAGAGGCAACAAAAGAGAAATCATCCCAGAAAATATACCCCCCCCCGCATGTTATTATTTTAAGATAAGCTTAACAAAATAAGGAAGGAAAAAATAAACAGGAAAAAGCATTGCCTCTTTTCCACCCAGCTGTAGAGGACACCAGAGTGGGGTGCAGTGTCTCCTGCCTCCCCTCTGCCTCCCATCCTTTCTCCATGACTCCCACCCCACCCCCGTCCCGGGGAAAGAGATGTAGTGTCTCCTCTAGTTGCAGCACTTCATGTGGTCCCACCAGCACCTCTGCCCTGCTGTGATTCTGCTGAAACCTCCAAAACTAACAGATTCTAAGATAACGGCAGCCTGTGCCCTGTGATCCCACAGCCGACAACCGGAAAAAGCAGAGGGTCCCGCACCGGGAGAGAAAGAGACACGACTTCTCCTTGTTTAAGCTCTCGGACTCAGAGATGAGGGTGAAGATCTCTCCACAGCTTCTACTGGCCACGCACCGCTTCATGGCCACAGGTAGGACGGTGCCCACCTGTCTCGGCCCCGACAGGAGCCCAGGCACCAAGCAATCCTGCTTGTCTTGTAAGCTTAGGGCCCAGCACCACTGTTTCAGAAAAGGGGCTTGTCCTTCCCAGGCCCCAGGAAGACACCTAAGGGCTTTCTCCTCCCCAGCCCAGATCTCCTGGGGAGGAAGTAGATACAACTCAACTCTGCTCTTCTCCCTTCGAGAAAAAAGTTAAACCTCTGCTTGCGCTTTTCCCTTCTACTCACATGGCCACCCATCACTTCAAAACTTTCCTCCCCACCCCCTTTTTTCTTATGGTGGTGTGTGGATGTGGTAAGGACCTTTAATATAATATTCACCCTCCTGGCAAATTTTGAAGGGACTAATTTTGTATTGTTGGTGTGGGCAAAAGGATGCAGATCTGGAGGCCTGATTCTCTCGCATAACTGACACTTGGTAGCTCTGAGTCCTTTGCTCCTTCCCCCGCCCATGGCCTCTGGCAAACACCCTTTACTCTGCTTCTATGAGTTTGACTATTTTAGAGCTGTCCTGTAAGTGGCATTAGGTGGCATTTGTCCTTCTGTGTCTGGCTGATTTGACTGAGCACAATGTCGTCCAGGATTGCATTATTTTTTTTTTTTTAAGTTCATGCCCAGCTTTAAACAAAATCGAGGGGAAAATTATGAACAAAGTCGACATTTCCAGAATGATGACCTGTTCCCCTGAGGTGCCACTGCAGGGACACGCCACCCCTAGGGACATGGGGACTGGGTCTATGACACCCTGCACCCCAGCCAAGGAAATCCCAGGAATGGAGATGGCCCTCGACGCATACCCTGCCATGCCCGCCTTAGCCCTCCTTCTCCCCCTCTCCCCTAGAAGTGGAGCCCTTTAAGTCTCTGTACCTTTCGGAGAAGATCCTGCTCCGACTCTTGAAACATCCCAACGTGATCCAGGAGCTGAAGTTCGATGAGAAGAACAAGAGGGCCCCTGAGCATTACCTCTACCAGCGCAGCCGGCCCGTAGACTACTTCGTGCTGCTGCTGCAGGTGAGCGGGAAAGAGGGGGCTCCCACGGGTGGGGCTGGGAAGGTGACTACGTCTCCCCAGTGCTAGGTCCCAAGACTTGGCTCGCTGCCTTGGGAGCAGGCCAGTGGGGAGGGCATTTGTCCACAACCCTCAGAAGGTCAGAAGGAGCTGGTGCAACCGGCTAGTGTCCTGGGAGAGGTGAGGGCCCCGCAGCAGCTCAGCTGACATCAGTGATGCTTGTGGCAGGATGAGGAGGTGCTTCTCCAGCAAAGGGATTCTGCTACTAAACTTCCAAACTGCTGCCCAACAGAATCCTTAACACCTCCTTGCTCTGTTTATACATGCCCAGAAATGGAACTGGCTGCTGCCTCCCAAGGGTCTTCCTCCTGACCCTCCTTGCATCTGTCCCTTCCCTCTGTCAAGCTGAAATTTCAGATTTCCACCCATTGGGCCTTGCTCTCTGCAGACACACAGAACACATCCAGCCAACTCTCTCTGCCATATTTCAGCCTTTGCTGACCCTTGACCTCCCCCCCCTTCAGAGGTCCAGGAAGGGGAAAAATGACTGAGTGAAAGAGGTGCAGCATCCCCCAGGACTCATGTAACTACAATCCCCTCTGCCCTGGGTACCTGGATTGGCCTGAATGGAGTGTCCCATGGGGACAGCTTGTGGCACTGCCAGCACCCTGGCCTGACCTCCCCCGCACCCAACATTAACTCTGTCATTCTTCCCAGTCCCTTCTCAACACAGTTGTAGGAACCTACACACAGTCATCATCCTAAAATGTTAATTAAGCTCACATGAACTTGGAGGTGGCCTTGCTGGGCTAGAATCCACTGGTCTGCCCTGACACTGGTGAGCGTTGCTTCCATCCTTCCAAATAGCCTGGGTAAAATGACTTCTGTTCTCCAAAAATGCAATCACATTTTTACTGTTAGAAATGGAGAAGGGGCCTCCCTGGTGGCGCAGGGGGTTGAGAGCACCCCTGTGAGGCTGTCCGTGGCCTTTGCGGCACGAGTTCAATCCCCGGCTGGCCAGGAGCAACCCACATGGCAAGGCAGACCTCTCCTGTCTCACCTGCTGCTCGCCTCAGCAGTGTGTTTCAGTACATCTGCCTGCTCTGCTCCCAGCTCTCTCTGGTGAATCTTCTCACCACTCCCCCACGACTCTGGCCTGTACCCTACTTCTTAAAAAAAAAAAAAAGAAATGGAGAAGTGCCCATTACATTGTGCATATAACATAGTGAACACATACAAGCTCCTGTCCCCTGCGTAATATAAAAGTAAGTTTTGAAATAAAACTGGGAGGGAGGAAAATGTAATGGCAAGTGGACGTTCAGGAATCAGAAAGATCTGGTTTTAAAATGCCAGTATTGCCCATTCCTAACTGACCTTGACCAAGTTATTTAACTTTCACCTAACATGGCCCCACCTGTAAACTGAATAAGAGCAGTGCGAGTCCTCAGGGGTGGGGCCCGCTGAATGAGAAGCCTTGCTGTCGCCCTGGGGACCACAGATGCACATGACCTGCTGCACCTTGGCTGTCACTATAGCTGCTGGTGAGTTAGACCAACCGCACAGAATCAGATAGAGTAGTGTGAGTGGGAGCTGTTGCATTAATCTACAACATAGGATGTGTAAGGAGGTGTAATATGAAAGTCAGATTAGGAACTAGTGTTTAGAGGTTTTGATTTGCCACCCTGAAAAGGATATACCATAGATATTCCCTTTAAAAATGAATCAAAAAAGATCTCATCTCCACCAGACATGGAGATGGTCTAATCTCAGGCTAACCCAGAGGGGCAGTTTACGGGCCCTGGGCGCACTGGGGCCTAGACCTGTGGCATGGAGGGCCACAACGTGTGCAATCAGAGCTTGGTTATTCGTGACTGGAGGCTGCTTTATGGACTCAGCAATTAATCAATGACAAAGGGCTCCTGAAGCTGAAGTTGGAGGTGCTACCTCTGAAACACAAGTCTGGGCAGAATTAACCCTCCCCTGTGGTAAGGACTGAGCCTGGGTTCTCCTGGGCAGATGTGCTGGGGGCTGCTGTCTGGTGGGAACTGGGAGCCTCGTGCACACCCTCAGTCACTCCCTTCTCTCTCCAGGGTAAAGTGGAGGTGGAGGTTGGTAAGGAAGGCCTTCGCTTCGAGAATGGAGCCTTCACCTACTACGGCGTCCCAGCCATCATGACCGCTGCCTGCTCAGGTACTCTGGCTCCCGCGCTGCCGCTGACTGTGCATGTAGGGGACTTTGTAGGAAAAAGCGTCTGAGGTCAGGTCTTGACTGTTGATGTAGACCCTCCACCAGCCCTTTCACTGTTGGACTTTTGTTTCCTTGTCTGTAAAATTGGTCTGTCAGTCATAACGCGTACATAATATGCTGCTCCAAGAGTTTGTGGAAGTGCGTGGTAGACTAACGTTATCAAGCGTTAGGGCGGATTTCTCAGTGTGAAAAGACAAGTTTGTTTCTATTCTACACTTCCACTTGATTGCCAGTTTTTGCAGGGTTGGTGCTGCAGGTGGGGTGGAAGCAGGAGAATCCCGTAAGAAGTGTGTTCTCCAAATCGCTTCTGAAACACACTGCCTCCTTCTGTCCTCAGATAATGATGTGCGGAAGGTTGGAAGCCTGACTGGATCCTCTGTCTTTCGTATGTATTTCTCAACCCCCATCCTCGCCCTCCCCATCGTAGTCCTGCCTCAGCCCCCTCAGGGGACCTGGACCGAGCACTTTGTGGGCTGGGGCTAGCACACGCGCTGGCAGCCTCTTTGTAAATCTCTGCCAGGAACACTGTTTCCTGCCAGGTACCCACAGACCATGGGCCTTAGTTTCAGTGTGTCTGGAATGCATTCTGCTGCTTCTTTGTTCATGTGCAAGTGATGAATGGGGGACTGGGGGGTTTACCAAAATGTCCCCTGCCAGCGAATGCAGGCAGGGGATTTGTGTGCTTTGGTGGAAGTTCGGCCTTTTCTTCTCTGCTATAATAAGTCACCCAGTGGTCTTTACCTGAAAATCTAAATAGGCTATTCTTGTGTCTGTGGAGTTGGTGAGATGTGATTGCAAGCTCTTGGGGATTAAGTCACAGGCTGGTGCAATATGTTGCTTACCTGCTTCTCTTCCCTCACTGACTGCATCTCAGCTGGTGGATAGGTGATGCCAGCTAGCCATGCATGCTGCTGGTGGGCTGCCACAGGGCTGCTGGCTGCTTTGTGCTGCTCCTTCTGTGCTCCGCTTTCTCACTGTTTCCTGCATAGAGTTCCCACACTTGTGTTTAGAGGGCATGCAATTTATATGCTATGTGATCTAGAAAGTATTATTTCTCTAATTTTCTGTCTGATTCATTGGTCTGATTTTTGCACTGCTTTCATCTGTTAGTTTTTACAGAAGCCATCTGACTGCCAGATACGGTGTTTTCCCTCATCCTAAAAAGTATTTTATATACTGCTTTATATCAGGGTTTATCAGAGGGTCCCAAAGCTTACTATCATGATCCCTGGTGACACATGAAAGGTTTTAACACAGAGAAACTAAAGAAATGACTTGTTCTAAATCACCCAGCAAGTTGGTGACTTACCTAGATGCATTCTGATATCCTGACTAAGTCACATAGCACCATGAAATACAGATTTCAGATCTATCCTACTCAAGAATGCAATTTCTGCATGGGAATATTGGGACAACTTGCAGTGTAATTTAACATCCTGGCCCAGCAGAGGGCTGAAATATGGCTGAGGCACTGCCCACATGCTAGGCATGGCATGAGTTGAAGGAGATCTATGAAATGAAAAATCTTGGCACGTTATTATGCTTATATACACCAACAAATTGCAACCAAGGTTGGTGAAGGCAGTTCTCAGCATAAGAGCCCTGGATGGGTGAGGGATGGGCTGCAGAGCAGATAAGCCTTGGTTGTCTAAAGGAGATCTCTTCCAGCCATCGCTTTAGGGGTTGCTCAAGATAGCGTAACTCCTAGAATTCTAAAAGTTATCTAGAAATGTTGGTCCTATTCTGGCTTTTCCAGAAGACCAAAAGGTGTGGGAACTCTGGGGGAAAGAACTACATAAGGCTCCCAGCCCACCTAATCTGGATGATTTTCTTGCTTTAAAATTTTTTTTAAGTAGTAGGGAGATATCTGATTTCCTCCTTTGCTTCCTCCTGTCTCTAGTTCTTTCCCTCAAATCCTTCCATTTTATCAGTAAAATAGGAGAAATCTTTCAGCACTGGTCCCTCCTTCAAAACTGATTAACAAGAAGGAAGCATGCAAGCCTTTCCTTCCTGCATTTCTGAGCATCTTTTCCAATCTTCCGGAGGAGAAGGAAAACTCATTATCCACTTCCCATTGTCCCCCTAAGCCCTCGCCACTTAGAGGGAAGTATAAAATCACTGCAAAGGCTGCCACAGCCCACAGTTTTCCTGAGGGCTCTCTTAGCCAGGGCCCAGCCACGCAGCACCTTCTGCTGCCAAGAACCTCGGCCTCTGGGTCCAGGGAGAGCTTGAGCCACAAGACAGTGAACTCTTGAGGGGTTTTCATCTAGCAAACTTCCTCTGTCCTTGAAGCCTTTAAAGAGATAAATGGGATGGCAGGTTTCCTAGACGCTTGAGGTTGTGAGTCATCCGGTTCTCCTGTACAAAGCAGAGAGACAGTCAACACTGTCTCCGTTATCTTGGTTCTCACTGCCAGGAAGCCCAGGAGGACCACAGAGAGGCTGGCACTGTGCAGGACTCAGGCTCGAGCTCAAGGTTGAGGGTCAGGTGCCCACAGGGGTCTGCAAGTGGGGCGAGAGCAAGTGTACCATTTGCTTGGTGAGGTACACGTTTAATATACAGCCCAGGAAGCACTGGGATTCCACTGTGTCTCTTAACCTTAGGGGCCCATTCAAATATTTTACTCCTCATGTCAGAATAAATGATTATCAGGTAGGTATAAAGCTACACACACACACACACACACACACACACACACACACACGGGTAATTTCAGTAAAATCAACTGGGGCAGCAAATAAGTCTGAAAGTTACCTATTCCAGGGAGCCATTACCTGCAGATTGGCTTCATGCAGTTCTGGGAGGAGTCCTCTGGGAACAATGAGACAAGAGAGATGAAACACAGCTTAATCAGGCTCGACATGGGGAAAGGACAGAGCTGCTACATACTCCACCCCACTCAGCCCCAAGTGGTAGTCGGCACCATCTCTGAGTCTGTGGGGATGGACTGGAGGAAGGAGCCTAGGAACAGAGGTGTTCTGCAGTGCTTGTACTACTAAGAGTGATTTGAGTTAGTTCATCAAGTTGATTCGCACTAAGATTGCTAGAAGTGCGGTCCGGCCCATCTCCCAAGCCTGTTGCAATGCACGGCTCCTTCCGAACACCGTGTCCACAGAGGGAGCTCCTAGCAGGCCGAGGCAGGATACAACTAACTCCTCAAGGATTCCCCCAGCAAGAGTGAGTTTATGGGCACCTCCTGCAAAGGAGCAGGACCCACCTGGCAGCCGGGAGCCTGGAGGGACTGCAGTGCCAGGCCCCCCACTAGGACACTGCATGCTCTTCACATTGGCAGCTCTGATTTCCTCTAAGATTATTGCACAGAAGACCTCCAGCAATGTCTACTTAGATGTCCCTCTTTCTGGAGCATGGCTTTGTAAGAGAATGCAATTTCCATGCTTTCAGAGGCAAGATTCCCTTTTGCAGAGAAATGTGGTATGAAGATCTGGAAACAGGTTGTCTGACCCACTTTGCTCTTTGTCTCTTTCCTTCTGTTTATCTTTTTCTTTGCAACTCACAAATCCTTGGCCCTTCACTCTTTAGTGCCCGTCTCTGTGTCTCGCACCTTCGCCTTCAGCAGAGGGGACTCTCTGGCAGGCTCCCCAGGTAAACATGCATGGGTGTCTCGGGTCTCCATTGGTCCATTGGGGTTTGCAAGAGGACTTTGGTCTCGGTCACTGTCCCACATGACAGCTAGTCTCTCCAGCAGCCACTCCCTTGACCAAGGCATAACATGGTAAACAAAATGGCACTTGCACACACAGCAAAGGCATTGCTGGTTCAACAGGGAATTTAGCGCCCAGGGCTGTAACTATGTACGTACATGGTGAAATGGTGGCGTGAGTGATGGTGCAAGTTCTTCATCATCATTTGTCTGACTACAGAATGGAGGACTGAAGCATGTGGCCAGAGAAAAATAGGAAGCCACAATGATGACTTATCTTCCACCTGTCCTTCTACATGGTCTCTGCTTAGTAATGTCTTCTAGTAATGCTACTACTTGGTGACCATATTCTCCCTGTCTCTTCTCATATAAAGGATGATGTATGTAAAAAATTCAAAACAACTTTTCATTGGGTTTAACCTCTTATTAATTACAAAGAGGTTTCAGGTTTTCTTTTTAATCAGGTAAAGGTGATCCTGTAGAGTACCTCGAGGTGTGAGTAGAATGCAGTGCTTCTGAACAGTCAATGAACTGTTTGTATTGCTTTCATCTCTAGGTGTGGGTCTCTAGGGTCATAGAGCAAACCAAGAAGTTATTTGTTAACAGTAAAATTTGTCCTGAAATTAGAACACAATCCAATTTCCCTTTACCTGTCTCCTTATCAGAGTGCTTTGGTAGTGCTTCTGAGATGCACCCCCCCACACACACACTGCCATTTCCTCAGTCATCAAGAATCCAGTTGTGTTCCATGGTCTATATATAGGACCTTCACATTCAAAAAGGCTATTTCATGAGACCAAGATTTTATATTGATTTCTGCTTTCTTCCAAGTCACATTTTTCTACCAAAAAGCCATCTGGCTCCCATGTTTGTCTGTGCAAAATTAACTACTTTCTCAAATTTCACCAAAATTTTCTCTCACTTGGTGATTTTCCACCAAGAAATGAGTTCTCTTGCTCTGTGAGAGTTCATGCCTTCCTGATGAACACAGGACCGTAGTCAAGGTGAGTTGCCAGTCCGGAGCCCTCCCCGGCCACTGGGCCACTCCTACTGGTCTACAAGTGGCCACGTTATGTGCCTTCAAGTTCCTTACTGCAGGGATCTTGGTGAATGAATGAGTGCCATGATATCTCCGCAGAAAGAGGAGAGGCAAATCTTTCAAAAGCTTTTCAATCAAAAGGATCAAAGCTGGGGCGTATTTTCCTTTTTAATTAGCCCTCCTCCAGTAACCAGCAACTTCGTTACTTGCAACTTCCCAGTGAAAGGTTCATTCTAGTTCGCCAGTACGTGTTGTAATGGTAACCCAGTGTCAGACAGAGATTAAGGTGACTCATTCCTGCTCTGCAGCCCCACCCCCCTCCCAGGAGGTGCGAGACTTCCAATCCAACACTGCTGGTGCCTGGTGTTTAATCTTCCTCCACCCCATTTTCCACCTGGGTGTTTTACCCAACAGGAAAGAGGTGAGCTATCAGGAGGTGAGAACAAGGTCAGTGCATTTGCACCCTTGGTTTACCTCTGCGAAGTGGAGGGGGACAGGCCCCGCAGGAGAAAACTCCAGGTGGGGATGGATGCTTTCTTCTGCAGCTCCCTCCTCCCTGCTTCTTTTGTCTGGTCTTTCACAATAGCTGGTAGCCAAGCTTTCGCGGACACCGGGTGACACCCACAGGACCTCTGCTGTGGTGTTTCCACTCTCACTCCTGCTTCTGCTCCATCACCACCAGCGGAGGCCTCAGTTGTAGCATTTTTGTGGAAAATAAGCCTCTGGCCCCATATTTGATTTATGACCCAGAAAAATTAATCAACATGTATTATATCTTATCCCCATCTTACCCGGGGAAAAAGAAGAAGTGCTAGCAATTCAGAAAGTCTTTAAAGTTAAAAAGAGCTCGTTTCTTTGATTTACTCCCACAACCACCTGGGGAGGTGCTTTGCATCCATCTCAGGCCAGGTGGGTTCACCATCGGTTTGGGAAGCTTAAAAGAGAACCCTTTAAAGGGTTCTTTGGGGCCCTTAGCATCATCCCCACAGGTTTTTTAATAGTACGCAGGGGAAACAAGCCAGCAGGGAGACAGCCACTCGCGCCGCCTGTGAATGTTTACACGCTTTTCTCTGGGCTTCCTCTTGTAGCCATTGCTCATCCCCTCACAGCCCTTCCACCGTGACTGTCTCTGGGTAAGGCCGCCCTAGATCCCCTCCCTCCTTGCACATGGGCACGCCCACACTCAGGTGTCCACAGGCAGGCACACATGCCCCGCACCCACATGCCTTTTATGTTAACAAGATCAAGGCCGCAGGTGATAGCCCCAGAGACCAATGGCATAAAGCCTGACCATTTCACTTACCCTCCAGGAGGTGGCCAGGAATTATTTTGGGGAAACCAAAGGCAAAGAAACAGGCTCTGAAAAACTAACCTCTTGGTATATAGTAAGAGCAGAGGGACAGGAAGGCAAGCCAACCTCTCAGGTCCTGCTCTGTGACCTGGGCTTCGCTGCCCCTCGAACGTAAGCGCCTTGTGCCCCCTAGAGGGCCGTGACTGGTTTGCATTTTGAAAGCAGCCATGCTGTTGGGACGGTGCTCGCAGTGGGTTGAAGCCCGTGGTCCCTGCACCAAATATTGCACCATTATCCAGCGGGAGTTTCCTTCTGTTTGCACCTTAGTTTGATTTTAATTTTTTTTTTAAAGAGGCATGTAATTTTATTTATGATTTATTTATTTGTTTTGTTTATACAAGCACTGGGTACAGTCAGAAGCGCGGGAGGGTGAGAGAATTCACCAGAGCCAGAGCGGGGAGCAGAGCAGGCAGAAGGACCGAAGTACGCCATGTGGGACCCTCCTCTGGTGGCCGGGGAGCAGCCGGGGATCGAACCAGTCCCGCAGAGGTCGCGGGTAGCTTCGCAACCCAGCGCTCAACCGCTGCGCCACCGGGGAGGCCCTGCACCTTAGTTTGAAATGAGAAGAGCTGAGTGGTTTGTGGGCTACCTCTGGAGTGTGGGGCAACTAGGTAGCTTTGCAGATGCTTTCATTTAAGAGCGAAGCTTGTGATGAGCCACTGAGAGAAAGGACACAGTCACACTGCGGTCAGCGCGCCCTCTCTCCAGATTGCTCCCTTCTTTCTTCCCCCAAGGGTGGAGGTGATTTCACCTTCCCCATGACATTCTGAGTTCCAAAAGCAGAGGCAAGAGCCGGGTGGGGAGCAAGGCTTCTTTCTCAATACCCCGTTGTTAATGTGCTTTGAGATGGGAGAGGATGGTGTTTTCTCCCGGAATATACAGGAGTCCCTGAAAATAATCCTTTTACTTTGTGAAGTGTGGTAAGTGGAAATATTCCTTTGGGCTGGCTCTGGCGTAGTAAACATTTGGGAACCATTAAAGCCCCATGTAACGTGAGCAAGTGCATCTGGGCTCCGAGCTTGGGCTGATTTGCAGGGTTCACATTGTAGCTTTGACGAAGAGCCTGTGGCATTTGTTTGTCTGATGTTGAATGTTACTCCAGAATGATGAATTTTAATCATCCTGGCTTGTAACTTTCCTAAGCCTGTGTAGTCAACGCTCCGCCCCCCACCCCCGTCCAGTTTGGAGGACACAGATGGCCAGAGGTGCAGTGGTCATGGCCAAATGGACTTTCCCCTTGTCCCTCACTAATGCTCCAAAAAAATGTGAAGGGCCGCTCAGCCAGCTTCACCCTCAAATCCCCAGACTGAATAGGAGAGTGGGGTATTTTTTCATATGTGGGTCCTTATCTGGGGTATGGGTGCCCCCAGCCAAGCCAGAGTTCCAGAGCTGCGGGCCTCAGCACAGAGTGAAAGGAATCCACCCAGCCCCAGCAGTGGTATAAAATACTCTTCTGCCCCCCTCTCCCACCCCACCCCCGATCTTACCCCAGTGTCTTCTCACCCACCCCCAGTAACCCCAACTTGCCCTCTAGGACAGACATCTCTTACAGGCTGACCTCCTGCAGACAGCAGGCACGAGGGCCACCACCCTTCTCCACAGCAGTAGGGGTCTAGAGCAGAAACCCTGCACCCCGCCACCCATTCTCCCCAGGGCCAGCATAAGAGTGTGATGTGGGAGCAAGAGTGGGCATGGGTCATGTCAGCCGCTTGGCTGCTCCCCAGTTAAGGGCTTGGGGGTCGGTTTTGTGCATCACTGTAGAGTCTGTGTCCTCTTACACCTCTTTGCACTGTAGAATTTTCCTCCTTGCTTCACTCCCCCAAGCTGTGCCTCCACGATCTTAGGAAATGCCAAGGGGAATTATACAACTTGAACTAGTTTGCCATGCTGCAGGAACACTCGTCTGTTACTGATTTCTTCTCTTTTTTTTATTAAAAGCATTTCCAGTCCCCTTGCTCGGAAACCTCAGAGTGTATGTGCACAATTACCAAAATGCAGAGTCATCAGCGCCCTACCTCTTGAGGAATGTCAGGCTCGGGGACATGGGAACCGTGGTCTTGCGAACACCCGGATGAGCAGGGGCTTTCTTTGTCATGAAATGGGGGAGCATTTTCCTTTCAAAAATTGCTTTTATAGACCCAACCCTTATAAGACAGTTGTACCTCTTGGTGTTGGGAATCTTTGGGGATTTTATGGCTAAACATCCAATAACATGGTTTTCACTTAAAAAAAAAACAAAACAAAAAGCCATGTTTCTCCTCTCAGCACAGCACTGATGTCACTTGTGTTTGCTATTAGAGTCCCTGGGAGTGACAGCAGAGCGTCAGGTATGTGCTGGATGCCAGTGAGGGTGAGAGCTTTGGGGGGACTGGAAGGACCCATTGTCTCCCTACCAACAGGGAGCAGGAGTGACTTAATGGGTGCAGGAGTGGTTTAATGGGTGAGGTACGGCTCTTTCCCTGTCCCCCTTCTGAGCAAATCTCGAGTAATGACACAAAGGATGGGGATGTGAAACCGCACGTCTTGTGGGGTGTGTGGAGCACAAGTCCAGCCAGGCAAAGGGGAGGTTGATCACGGTGCAGTGCTTACTTCTCAGGGTAACTGAAACTGTAGGCTCTGCTCACACTCCCCTTGTTCCAAACTGAGCTGAGGTCAAGGCCACCAGGTTGAAATGTTTCCCAGGCTGCAGTCACACTTCAGAGAAGCTGCGGGGGAGGGGATAGGAGTCCCTGAGAGGAAACCAAACAGGGAAGCAGGGGTCAGGTCATGGGGAGGCTTTGGGGCCCCAGCAAGGCCTGTAGATTTTATATAGATTCAATAAGGAGGCTGTTTTGTAGTTTTAAAATGTGCTTGTGGGTGCAAGTGAGAAGTGAGAACAGGTTATAAGATTCTACGTGAGGAGACAAGACTGTGGTCTGGGCAAGGGAGACAGTCTCTGGGACTCACGTGGTGACAGAGCTGGAGGCAGCTCTGTGTCCAGTAAAGTGAAGAGGAATTGACGTGGATCTTTGGAGTAGCAGGAGTGACGTGACTCCCGAACTTCTGTTTAAGTAACAGCCTGTCTGTGAACGATACTTACTGACAAGGGGAAGCCTGGAAGAGGGATCCTTAGTTCTGTAATCCTCTCAAGACTGATGATGAGGATGATGATGGTACCAGTGAGGAAATGAGCCAATCTATTGCTATTTTAATCTTCCTACAAGTTGGAGTGCCAGATGATGATAACAGCCTGGCAGCTAAACAAATTAACGATGCATTCCAAATAGATGCTGATCATATCTTCACGTGATCTTAGCCAAAAGACCGAGAAGCGATGATGCTGATCATATCTTTTGACTGATGGCAGCATGATCTCAAGACAACTAAATTCCCAAGGTTCTGCCCCACGAGAACAAGGTGCAATCTCTGAAAAATTGGTCTCTTCACTTGAGCCCCTGAACTAAACCTATGTTATGAAAGACTAATGCTTCACACCTGCACCCTACCCAACCTGGCCCCTTTCTTGGCAGGACATGCAGAGTGGAGCTTTGCTGTCTCAGTGAGGGGAGAGTCACCTTTAGGACCCCTCTTCTGTCCATCCTGGGGTGGCTAGTTCACCTCATCCTTCTTGAAACCAAGTGACATCTTAACTGAACTTTCCCAAAAAGCCTGTCTTAAAAATGTATAAAGAACCTCGCTGAGCATTTAGCAGGTCTTTGACTGACACCGGCAGCTTATTCTAGGTCCCCCCTAGGCCTATGTAGGTGTAGACCCACTCTCTAGAGATCCCCTTTTTGGCCCAGTCCTGCCCCTCTCTCTGGTGTGAGAACTTCACAGGGCCAAAGAAATGTGCTCACATCAAGCCTGTGTTCATCCTTCTGAACCCCATTTCCAATCTCAGGAATTTCCCACCCACCAGCCCTGGGAGGAAGCAGGTCCCGCCAGAGGCTGGCCCTTCCCCACAGCCCTGTTTCTGACACAAAACTCTACAGTCAGACTGACCTGCCTTCCAGGTGGTTTTCAAGAACAAAGTTGGAACATACTTTAACAGTGTATTGGTGTGCTGTAATATTTATCCGTGGGGTCTGTCAGCCGCTTTTTGTGCTCTTGTCCTGGGCCCACTGATGGCGGGCAGGCTTGAGTTATTCCCACTAAAGTGCCCCGCCACAGTGAGGACTGGTTGTCTGGGCTGTGACAGAGTTTGTGAGGGCAAACCTAAGGCCTTGCCTTTCCAAAAGGTTTGTGCATGGAGTTTATGTAAAATTCCATTCATGGTGGCCCTGGGGCAGCAAACCACACTCACAGTGCACCCTCATCTACTGGACTTAACCCAAGAGCAGGACCCAGAAGCCATGGGCCCTTCCGCCCACCTCTCCCTAGTGGAGAGGCCAAGGAGCAGGAGGCTGAGCGGGAGTAGAACCACCATTCCGGTCTTGGGTATTATTAGCACCTCAACCTCAGCCAGGAGCGGGGCTGGGCTCTGATGGGGGCGAGAGCCTGTCCCTCTGAGAGTCCTCAGTCAACAACCTCTCTCTTCTCTCCTCCTCTCTCCCTGCCCCCTCTCTGTCTCCTTCTCCCTCCTCATCTCTTGCAGTAAACCGGTCCCCTTCTCGATGCAGCGGCTTGAACCGCTCAGAATCCCCAAACCGTGAGCGCAGCGATTTTGGGGGGAGCAACACCCAGCTGTGCAGCAGCAGCAACAACCTCTACACGCCTGACTACTCAGTGCACATCCTCAGCGACGTGCAGTTTGTGAAGGTAAGGTGTGTGGGGGGGCACAGTCATGAGAGCCTTCCTAGCTGGAGAGGCCCAGTGTACTTACCTTACTACTGTCTACTGCTTGTCACTCTTTTAAGATCTCCTAGTGCCTGGTTTTTCGCGTGGGGACAGTAAGGCACAAAGCAATAGGGAATTAGCTGGCCTGAGACAAGTAACCGAGCAGGACTGTTTCCTTTGGATTCTCTACCATTGGCACCAGGTGGATTTTGTCCTTTGTCCCCAAGGTAAATTTGCAGTGACAAATGAACTGAAGGGATAGGAGAAACCCTATCATGACTTTCCCTAACGATAGTATATTTTCACACCTTGAGATGTAAAGCCTAAAACAACTCAGCCAGCACGCTGTAATGACTGCTACACTCCCTGGACATGACTGAGCTGTTTGAAGAGAACACTTTGCAATGGAGTGAAGCAAGGCAGCCAAGTCCTTCGCCTTGTGCTTAAAGTGCTGTTTCTTCATACTCCTCACTGAACCCAGCATTGCACAGAAACCTGTTAAGATGGCCTCCTTTCTTTTAACTTGATAACTTGTTTTGCTTGTTTGCTCTAATTTTGATTTATTCTTTGTTTGCTAGCATTCCGCAAACCCTAATGCACGTGAGCCTGAGGTCTGGGGAGACCCCCATTTGTCCAAGTCCAGTGAACCCCACAGTGGGTTCTCCTGGTGACCTGTGGCAATTGCAGACAGGGTGACCAGAGGTGTATTGAAATCCAAAAGATGGAGAAGAGTTTTCCTTTGTCCAGAACACATGCCCTGATTACTTGAGCTCGCTGGCTCTCACTGTTCCAAAACTTAGGCACCCTGAGCTAAAACTGCCATCAGCTGATAAATATCACCATGGAGAGTTATCCACAGGGAAGGGCCCAGTCTGCGGTGGGCTGGGCAGATAACTGTTTGAGGGGTGATCTGTGCAATGCACTTCACTCCTCCTATGTCTGAGCTGGCTGCTGGTCTCACAAACACCCTCTGAGGTGCATGGCTGCTGTTCCCATTTATGGATAAAGAAGTTGGGGCTTGAGGAGCTCACATGGCTCATAAGTGGCAGAGCCAAGTTCCCAAGTTGAGTCTCTGTCTCCAGAGGCCAAGCCCTAAAATCCCCCGGTTTTAAGAAGAGTTGTGGGAAATCAGAACTGAAGCAGCCTGGGGGAGCAACCTGAGGAACTGCCTAGCCATGCTCACAGGTGTGCTTGCCCGTGGACAGTTAGCACGTCTAATGTGACAGTCGAGGTAAAGCTCAGAGATCTGCAGCCCGGGATTTGCCTCCCTCTTGCTTCTAGCCCTAAAGCCTTCCCACTGCAGACCTTCTTCAGAAGTGGATGTAAGAAAAAATGAGAGTAAGGAAACTCGACTATGCTAACTCGTATTGCTTTGTAGTACTCGTCACATGGTTAGTGGGAAAAATAAATTGAAAGTCACAACATGAGTAAATAAGTATCAACAAACATTTCCTAGGTGCCTTCTCTGGGCTTGGCACTGTGTAGGCATTGGCAAGATACCATGTTGAGCAAGACAGCACACTCCTGTCTTTCTAGAGCTTCCATGCTAATAGGGAGAGAGAAGTGGCAAGCCAGTAAGCATATAGTAGCCTCGGGCATTTTGGGTCCTGATAATAACAACCGAGGAATAAGCAGGGTCCTGGGACAAACAGCAACTGAGCAGAGGAGGCCAGGAGATTGCTTTACAAATGATCATTTCTGAGAAAAGGACATTTTGCTGAGACCTGAACACGGAGGTGGAGAGAATGTTCAAGATGGAAACAACAGAGGCAGGAATGAGCTTGGTGTTCAAGGATCTGAGTGCTGGTGCTTGGAGAGCAAGGACAAAGGCGGAGAGGAGAGGGAGTGTCTGCCGCTGTTACCTGGCAGCCTGAGGCCAGAGTAAGAAATTTGGATTCTATTTTAAGTGCATTGGAATTTTGGTTAAGTTTCCTTCTCGGATCTTCCCATGTGTCTTAATCCATTTGGGCTACTGTAACGAATTACCACAGACTGGGTAACTAACAAAACTTCTCACAGTTCTGAGAGCGGGAAATTCAAGATCCGGGTGCTGACAGGTCTAGAGTCGGTGAAGACCCATTTCCTGGTTTGCAAATAAGTGTCTTTCCTTGTTTCCTCACGGGCAGGGAGAGGGAGCGAGGAAGCAAGCACTCTTCTTGTAAGGGCACTAGTCCCATTCATGAGGGCTCCACCCTCAAGACCTCATCACCACCCCAAAAAGCCTCACCTCCAAATGCCATCACATTGGTGGTTAGGATTTCAACATGTGGTTTTGGGGAACACAAGCAGGCAGCCCATAACACCATTTCTATCTAAGTTCAGAAAACCCATAAGAGGATTTGCCTTGCTGCTTTGTGTAGAAACATGAACAAGATTTTGAGGATCATGTTTAATGAGCAAGTGTAGTGTTCCAGAATTTTCTGAACCATTGATGCATAAGTTGGAGAGCATTTTCAGAAGATGGGCTTAGCAATGCCCCAGGGAGAAATGTATCAAGAGGAATACCTGGTGATACATTTGCAAGGATTTTCTTAAAACTTACAGATGGTTTCATATACACCCTAGAACACAGGGAAAGGGAACATTATATGAAAGCAAGGCACATGGGAGAGAAGTCTCTTTCCATGGAGAACCCCAAATCTGAGGTCAGTTCCCAGGTAATGTCCTATTGCTCAGGCCAGAGGACCTTGAGGTAACTGGGACAGCTGAGTAGAACAGAACACGGCCCTCTTGTTCACCTAGAGATTGTGAAATTAAGAAGACTAAATGTCAAAAGTAGAAGTTCTGGGGAAGGTAGGAAACCATTTGTTATTCAAAAACTTCTTTAATCTTGTGACTCCCGTCTCTGAAAAGCTTTCACTGTAATGGGTAGTTCTATCGAAGGAAACTTTATAGGTTCGAGTTCCTGTTTTAACACAGTGTTTTATTTTGATTTTGTTTTTTTTTTCTTTCTTTTTTTTTTTTAATGTAAGTTAAGATGGTGCCTTAGAAAAAGATGAAAATTCCCTCCTTCTGACTGTTAGGGCCATTGTCAAAGGCTGCTCTTTCATTCACCACCCCCACCTGTTCCCACCCGCCTTTTAACATGAAAAGAGTTTTGGAGGAAGCAAAAGAGAAGATTGTGTAATGGGGTGTTTTCATGGCTGAGACTCCTGTGACTGGCTGCAGGAAGATTTTGCAAGGGGTTTTCATGTCCAAAAGACTAAAGTTCCAGAACTATTTAAGTCCAGAAGTAACATGACTTTAAGATACATTACACAATTAGATAGAAAAGTGTGTTTAATGATTATCTGGGAAAGAGTAAAACCATGACTAATCATAGTTAAAAACTTATGAAGTATCACATAATCCTTATGAATACTTTTTGAAATATGTCTTGTAAATATCATTATTAAATTTAGAATATATGGCAGAAGTCTTATAGTCTGGATAGCATAACAATGTCCACCAGGAGGTGGAATCCCTACATTGCACAATTGTGTTGTGAGGATAAACATCCTAAAATGATAAGAGACATCACAGTGTCAGAAAGGTTATCTTTGGACACATCCGATGCTAAGTCAAAATATACAAAAGGATCCCCTTACCTTTTGTAAATTTCAAGATAATCACATCTCTATTTCCTCTATAATTCAGAAGATGCCTGGGCTCTTAGCTGGCCAACATATAAGAGAAGAAAGACAATTTGAACACAAGCTTTCACTAAGAAATGACTATATCTCCAGTGAACCAATTGATAAGCGTATGTTGAGCATTAGCAATGGTGTTAGGCACCAGGAGCTACACTAAACACATATCAAACCTATCATCTGCCTTTTGAAGAGCTTTAGTTAAATGACAGTGACCAATTCAGGCAGTATCTGATTACAAAATTGCGTGGCACTTATTTTAAGCACTATACTGGCTAGAGCATATACTGGAACTTGAAGAATTAGGAAAGAGTAAGAGGAAAGTTAAGGCAGTGCTATGGGGGGACACACTGATCAGTAGGGTGTAGAAAGCATGAGACGTCTGGTGGCTGTGTGCCGGCAAGCAGTTGGCATACCGCAGGACACCACGGAAGGCTGAATTATCAAAACTGGGAAGAGCATTTAGGTTGATCTATTAGATCATCTCTGTCAGTACAGTAGCCACTGGCTACATGTTAAGCACATGAAGTGTGGCTTGTCCAAATTTGTGCAGTGTAAGTATAAGCCACATATTGGATTTAACAGTACAAAAAGGAATGTACAATTCATCATTAATAATCTTTACTAACTGATGATGGCATGTTGAAGTGGAATTATCTGGGCTATGTTGGGTGAAATGAATTTGATTATTAAAAATCATTTCACTTGTTTTTATGTTTTTTTAAATATGACCACTGGAGAGTTTTCAGTTGTCTATGTGACTCACATTCCATTTCTACTGCACGGTGCTGTGCGAGGTAGAAAGAAGGTCCCTTGCATTGCTGAACAGAGAAAGGAATGGACACAAGTGAGGCTTGAATCTAGACCTGCAGCTGGGAGAGCTTGCTTCCCTGGAGACTTTTCTAGACGGGTCCCTTGTCAACAATTTCCTTTAAGTCAACACATTGACATAGCAGCAGTTTATAATTTTTTAAATTAAGCTTTTAAAAGGAAGCAATGTGAAAGCAAGGCTGAGAGACACGTCATGAAGGGTCTTTCCTTGTATACAAACACCCACCATCAGGGAAGACCCTCTGCCAGCTTTGCCCCATTCCTGTACCTGTACCTTATTCCAGTAATTGTCCCCCCAACCCCCCTCCACACACACACACTCATACACACACTCACTGGGCCTTGCTTCTTCCCGCTCATGTTACAATGGGGCTGTAATTGTCTGACTCTTCTTTTTAACACCATTGGCAAGTGGTTATTTAACATCTGTGTGAATGCCTCCAGTGACTCAGAACCTATAAGCTCAGAACCTATGAGGAAGGAATACATTTACTTGGCACTGTTGCCAGCAGCAGTGCTTTATTCCCACCTCACCCTTTCCTTCAAACCATGCACAGAAAGAGCTGGCATTCGATCCTCCATTCCAAGCTGCAGGAAGGGCAGACCACAGCTTCTCGAGAACAAAGGGAGCGTGGTACAGCTCACCGCCGGTACAACCCGGACCCAACTCCCAAAAATAAATAAGTTAGATAAAATAGAGCACTTGGCAACACTCCTGAGAGACTTTTAGCTTGGGGCCCATAGCCAATGACCAACTGATGGGAGCCCTGAGCCCAGAAATCCATTTCAGAGTCAAACCTGAAAGGGCCCTTTCTTTCTCCCTCCCTCCTATTGCTTCACTCAAGAGCTCATCTTTTTGTTTTTTCCATTGTCCCTACTCAGAAAGTCCTTCTTCCCCTGCTTTCTCGTTAGTATTATTTCCTGAGTGAAGGATTTGTTTTCCCAAGACCTAGTGTTGCTCTCACACATCATTGATTCAGATGTCACGTTCCCTTGCTGAGGGGCATACAAATGAGCCTGTTTTCACTGGAAGCAAGATTCGAAGAACCCATCTGTGACATAGCCCCAGAGGACAGGTAACAAAGAAACTTTCCCATTTTCCAGAGAAACATTTGATCTTGCCTGGAATGACTGACTGAGTCTGGCTGAGTCTAACTCTCTAGACGCCTTCCCTTGTGGGCAAAGTTTGATAGATGGGGCCAGTCACTTCTAGTGTGACTCTCATGGTCTGAGGAGACAGCCGGGAGACTTGTGTGGGAATACCCAGGAGCGTGAGCTCACGTCCAGTGATGGCCAGCCCTGCTTTGAAATGCCCAGGCTGTCAAACCTCTGCCTCAGGTTCCAGACAGGAAGGCCTGGGGCAGCAGAGTTTCCCTCATGGCGTCCCCACTGGCTGACCCAGCAGGAAGAGGACGTTGTGGGCAACACCCCTGCTAACTGGAGATGCCGTCCATCTTCCCTGGGTTTCAGGAAAAGGCTTGGCTCCTCCAGGTATACCCAAAGAGTCCAGAGCCAATACAAATGATTGTAGGAACACCGGTATCAAACAAGCAAAGAGTCCCCCCATTGTTTCCCAACTGCTGGGCTCGTACAGCTTGGGTAAGGCCCTCAGTTATGGATCCTGGACTGTCGAGGCCAGGTATTCCCATTGCACCCTGCTTCTGAGCTTGGGAAGATTGGCCACTCCAGGGAGGACTCCACCAGCTCCTCCTGAGCTTCTGCCCCTCTGCCTCTTCCTTCCAGATCACGCGGCAACAGTACCAGAATGCGCTCACTGCCTGCCACATGGACAGCTCGCCCCAGTCCCCTGACATGGAGGCCTTCACTGACGGAGACTCCACCAAGGCCCCCACTATCCGGGGCACACCCCAGACCCCCAAGGATGACCCTGTCGTTGCCCTCCTGAACAGCAGGAACAGCCTGCCGTGTAAGTCAGGAGGGCCGCCCCTCCGGGAAGGCAGCCCTGCTTCCTCAGCCCTGCCCATAACTGCTTGGAGCTGTGCAAGAGAGGTAACGCACCCACTGTCCTCCCCAGGCAGCCACTCGGATGGGCTGAGAAGCCCTGGCGAGGTTGTGTACCTGCGGATGGAGGAGTTGGCCTTTACCCAGGAGGAGATGGCAGACTTCGAGGAGCAGGACACGCAGCAGCTCTCACTGTCTCCCACCACTGTGCCCACGAGAGCAGGTGGGGCTGCTCCCTGGGAGGCTGGGGGAGGGGGCTCTCCAGAGAGCAAGGAAGGTCATCTCCATGGGCACTGTGATGGCCCGGGGGGAGCCTGGTGAGGGGGCCCTGGGGCCCGAGCCCCCCTGTGACTCTCCCCACCTCCTTACACCAACAGGGAAGGACACTGACATCTACTGAGCAGCCTCCGTGAATCAAGCACATCTTAAATTGTTCTTCCCAGGATGACAGTATATGGGGCAGTGTTAGGAGCTAGGTTTACCCCTGTATTCAGAGCCCGGCACCATCTTTTAGGAGCTGTACAATTTTAGACCAGTTACTTCAACCCAAGACTTAGTTTCCTGGTCTTAATAGACATGCTTCCTTCTTTTGAGCCATGTAACTCATGGGGATTAGCTCATAAAGTAGCTCTAAACATAAATGAGATAACACAGGAGGATACACCACAGAGCTTAGGACCCTGCTTTCTAAACAACGCGTAGTTATTACTAGCCCTACTGTACAGTTTAGGGAATGAAAGGGAACAAATTAGGACAGGAGCAGCCTTCGCTCTTACTAACAGGGCTCTCGTTCCCTCCCTTTGGGCCCCAGAGATGAAAGAGAATCTGTAGGACTCATCCTGAGCTCTGACATCTCCCAGGATCCCACCAGTCTTAAGAGCCCCTGGGCTTGTCTTGCTAAGATATATTTCCCCAAGTGTTCAGCAGCCCCCTGTAGCACCCTGCAGGCTAGCAGTTGCCCCACCCAACTCCCAGACCTGCCCCAGTCCACGGGACCCTTCAAGTCTGGGACAATGACCTGACATGTATTCATAGATTGTTTTGGGGGCTAACTCAGAAAATCCAGGGCATAAACCAATCACCATTCTAGGTCTTGAAATTAGAACTGATGTTCTTCTCCCCACTCCCCCAACACTAAATTCAGTAAGTAGCTAAAGCATGTAGCACAAAAAAAAAATGTCAAAGAAATAAGGCTGGAGGAGATGGGCCAGTCTCTGGGATGATAGTCCAGCCTCCAGGGCTGGCATCAAGAGCCCTCAGGCCTAGAGGAAAGTGCCTCGCCCAAGTGCATATACTGCATTAGAAGTGGGCTCGGCCTCCTGGCTCTGGGTCAGGGCTGTCCCCATGATGCCACTTGACCTCCCCAGTGAGGTTTTATTGCTTGGCGGTCCAGTCCTGAGCCCCTTTACAGCTCTGAGTCCCCCACGGGGCTTGTTGGGAGAAGACAAGGCTTGTTCTCAATTGCTACTGATCCCTGTGAGTTTGCAGGGTCTGTGCAAATGCAGGGGGGAGACCTTCCCGCTTGCCCTCAAGTGTACTTTTTCCTCTGGTAAAGAGACTAAGTGGAGAACATCTTGTTCGCTTCTTTTCTCTCCTGCCAAACAGTGTTTAAATCATTAGATTCCTGCTCCTGTCCTGTCTCTGTCCATTTGTGGCACAGCTTACCCCTAGCTGATTATTAGAGCTGGCAGCAGCCCCGGCAACCCCCCTTGTTCCTGCTGCCATGCCCCCCCGCCCCCCCACTAGGAACTTTCACCTGCTGAGGAGCATCAACTGCAATCACCCTACCTTGATCCCTGGGTATTCAGGTTGAACAGACTTGAGTTCTTTTTCTTTCCTGTCTCTCAGCCTCAGATAGCGAATGTTGTAACATCAACCTGGACACAGAGACCAGCCCCTGCAGTAGCGACTTTGAAGAAACCGTGGGCAAGAAGCTGCTGAGAACCTTGAGTGAGTAGTTCTTTACCCAGGCAAAAGCTGCCCACTGGCTGGTTGGGACAAAAATCATGTTAAATTCTTACCCCTGGAGGGAGCGCCATTAGCTCCTTTAAGGAACCCTCATAAGGTACAATTGTGGAAACTCGTACTGGGATTGGGGCTTGTCCCACATCCTCGATAGTTTTGGGGTCAGTCTCAGTTGGTGGCTTTCGGGGACAGGAAAACTGCCCACAAGCCAAACCCTGACCACCCCCTCCCCAGCCTGTTCCTGTAAACAAGATCTACTGGATCATTTGTTATCTGTGGCCAGAATGGCAGAGTTGAGCGGTTGCAACAGGGATTGTGTGGTCTGCAAAATCTGTCACATTTACCATCTGGTCCTTTAAAGAAAGTATTTATGTCCAGGAGACTCTAAGAAAGGAAAGCAATATCCTCCATGGAAGGAAGCCGGTGACAGAGAAAACAAGGTTAAAAATACTCAGTCTCTAAAAACAACAGACCTGGGAACAGAGTGCCCTTCCATCCTGGGGGACAATTATGTAATGGCCCCCACCTGCCCGATGCACTGCTGGCACGTGGAGGCTCCTTGGAACAGCTCCCCGGCTCACGACATCAAAAACTGTGAGGGACCGATCCCCTTTCACAGGGTGTCGAGCTGTCACTGGGGCTGGGCCATCAGGGGACAGGGAGGGCATGACCCAGAGACATCGCTTGACCTTCACACAGCCCTCTCCAGCAGAACTCATTCCCTGGACACTCGCAGGGGGTGGTGGAGATGTCCCCTCAGGAGGAAGGTGTGTCCTAACCCTTCCAGATGTGAATATGCTGATCGCTTCCTGCCAGACTCTCAAGGGCCTTGTCTGCTGCCTCCTCTTTTGAAGAGCTCATGGACCAGCAGAGTGTGGACATGCCGCCAGTCTTATAAATCAATCCTTATAAACTCTTTTTCAGGTGGTCGAAAAAGGAAGAGGTCACCAGATGGAGAGAGAGCCTCTGAGGAGAACTCCAACTTAACGCCTCTGATCACATGACAAATGTCAACTAGGTGTGTGAGATCCAGATCTTTGGGGGAGGACCCACCCTCCCATCATCTGCTTCCCCCCACGGCCTCACACAGGTGACAGAGCACTATGCTTTCCTTACCACCTCTTCACCCCTAGCTGTCAGACGGGCAGATCTCCCCTCATTGCCTCCAGTTTGACTCAGAGCCTTGCCATGGCCATCATGGGAAGGAGGTACCTCCAATGAAACAATGAAAAAGGTCTTGTCCACAGCACAGTCTGGGACTGGAGAAGAAATGACTCCAAGCTAACACCACCACTCTGGGACCCAGTGTTCCGCTCTGGGCCCATCTTGTTCCTTGGGATCCCCTGATGCCATAGTTCATGCTTAGCTGAGCTCAGGATGCACCAACAGCCAGGCACAGAGGAGGCTGGAGTAGTAAGTGTGAAGGTTAGCTCAGGAGATGCACCATGAACTCCTCCAGAACTTTAGAGCAGTGACAGCCAGCCACGCTGGCATGTGACGTTATAGTACAGAAAGCCATCGGTGACTGGTTTCCTGTTAGATAAGGGTTCCAGCAGTCTGGGAAGTGTGTCTCAGCTGGAATGGAAAGAATGGGAGATGAAACCTCGAGTCACTGTTTTTCCCAGGGACACATGTTTTGACTCCCAATCAGCAATCAATCAATCTGCTCTGGAAGAGGAGGAGCAAGGAGCAGAGAGACCCAGTTGGGAGCCAAAGATGGAACTTCAGGTCTTAAGTGCAAAGCAAAGCAAAGCAAAAAAAAAAAAAAAAAAAACAACCTTAGGTGGAGAAATTCTAAGCTGTTAAAGCAGGTTTAAGCCATGACATACCAAAGAGTGCCCAGGTCAGCCGAGGAAGATGCAAGCTCTCGTGGGCTTCAGTGTGCACTATGCAGGAAGACTGAAATGCCACTCTTCTTTCTCATCCATTCCCTAGCCCTCCGCCCCGCTTACTCTGCCCCAGCAGGTCAGCCAAGTGTAGTTTATTCCAAGGATTTATCAGAACACTGGGTTTTCGCCTGTTGAGGCAGATGCAATTCCAAAATTGACCACCCAGTGGCAGAATAGCTGCACCTACGCTACTTAAGAATTCCATTCAGATCAGGAACCTTGCAGCCAGCCTTTGAGAAAATGTGAAAGTGTGGGTTGTCTTTAGGACATTCACTTCCCTTTCTGATCTACTTCCCATCCCCTCCATCAGGGATCCAGTGCTGCCTGCTGTATCTCCAAACCATTCCCAAACTTTCCCCTGGGCTGTACCATCCACACTTCCTTCCCCTACCCCCAAAACCATTACTCCCAGGCTCCCACACCCCATTCAACCAATAATCACTTGGGAAGAGGGAGACTAAAAATTCCTCTGGGTTATTTGCATCTGAAAAGCAAATGCTTACCCACAGGAACCTTTAACTCAGGGGTCATAATTTGGGGTCCATCACCCCAGAGGGTCCATTTGTTGGACTTGAGGGTCCATGAAACCCCTAACACTGTCAGAATTTAGTCTATGTGTCCTTATGCGTGTTTTCCAGAGGGCTAAAGCTTTCATAATATTCTCAAAGGTCTCAGACCCACAAAGTGTTTTTTTAGAAAAAAAAAAAAAACTATTTTAACTAGTGGATCTTTCAGCCCCAAATTTCTGCAATGCAGAGTGAGATGAATATTGAGCAGTTTAAGATAAAATTTTAATTACAAGTGGTCTTCTCAAGTGTCCATCAAATCAGTGGGGAAAACTGGTACCCAAGAAGTGGAAATTCTCAGAAGTTCTTGGCACTCCCAGTGTGGGATAGTGTAGCCTACGTAACTTCATCCTCTGCCCCCACCAAGCCAGAGCAGGTGTTGCAGACGGGAGGGCCACAGCACATGGATGCAGACATTCCAGCTGGAGATGCCTTTTCCAGCCATGTATTATTATTGACTTTATACTCCTTGCCTGACTCCACCTGAGGTTCAGCAGTGCATGACTTCTCGTAGATAACTCCACAGCCACCCCCCAGCCCCACACCTACTTTGTCTAGAAGGAAGAGGCAAAGCGGCAGCCCCGATGCTGGGGCCCAAGGCCCAAACCAGCCAACAGTGAGTTTCAAGCAAGAATTGCCATCATGCAGTCTTCTTGCCCAGCTGGCCACAGGCCTCAGGGGGGCCAGGCTTGTCTTCCTTTCATTACCCCTTAGATCACCAGGCCCAGGCCACTGCTGTTGCATCACATCCATCCCCTTGCAAAACCCCTAATGAGCCTGTCACCACTCCCTCCCTAATCCCGCCACCCCAATATTTTCTTCAGGTTAAAAATAAAAGGTTTAAAGAAAGAGGATTTTAAAACAAAGGATTTATGACGGTTCGATACATTGTAAATAATTTTTAAATAAAATGAAAATGCTTTTCCTGGAATGTGGCTCTGTCCCTTACAGCTGGAAGCTCCAAATTCTGAGTTCAGACTTGGCTTCATGGAAATGCAGATGGGAAGATTTACATGTGTTTTACCAGGGCCCACCTGCACGCCTTCCAGGTCAGGTGGGAGGCTGCCATTAGGTTACGGGAAAGCAGCGGTGCTCTGCTTTGGGAGGCCAGGTGGGTAAGAGTTTGCAGGAACAAATGCCATGGATGGGAAGTTAAACCCAAATGAGAATCTAGAATGTAACCAACATCAAGGAAGGAGGACAACGAGAAAGGCATTTGTTGAAGCCAGCTGATGCACGGCCAGGCACATTCCAAGTTCAAGGTCATGGGGGTCAGACACAAGCAAGCCCCTGAGACAACGTGGTAGTCACACTGGCTGACTTCTGCAGACCCTCTGGACTGAGTGATTTCTAACCAAAGGCTAGAAAAGGAACAGGAGCGTAGGCAGGCTGATGGGTTAGTTTCAAACCAGAGCAGGGGGGAGAGAACCACTAGCCAGGCAGGCAGGTGTGTTTGGGTGTTTATGTGTTTGTGGAAGGAAGGTTGGAATCTGACACCTACTGCTAATTTCTCAAACCAGCACCCAGGATGATTAGGGGCGTAGGCCAGAACAATTGAAGAATCTTCCCAGCAGGCTATTAACTTCACAGTTAGTATTATTAACAGTAATAACAAATGACATAACTATTTCACTGAGAGCTGTATGTGCCAAGTTTTGTGCTAAGTACATATGCTCATTTCTTTCTCAAAACCACACTGTAAAGGTTTTGCATCAGTCTTCAAGGACCTCTGAGCACTTGTGACTTGCTCAAGGTGATTCAGCCAGGAAGTGGCACAGCCTGGAGGACTGACTGCCCTCTTCCTCGTGAGCAGGCAAAATCTGGATAAGAATGCCACCTCTGAAACCTCAGGGCACACCTACAAGGTGAGGCCCAGAGCAGTCCATTAGTAAGAAAGCTCACAGAACCCATCAAGCCCAGCTTTCCCCAAATTCACATGGGGCCCTTGCTTCATGTGAACATTCTCAGGAAACTAGAACATACTAAGAGAGCCACAGGCCAAAACATGTTAGTCCCTTCTACAGGGGCACTTCAGTTTAAGAAGTATTTTTAACTACCTTTTCATCATTTCCCACCCATCCCCAGAGAAAACTTAAATTTAAACTCTAACAAGAGACATTACATACTAAGAAATGAGATTTTATCTCATAGAATTGTGCTTTGGTGGACCACAAACCATTTTAATATCTTAGGCCTTTTTTTTGCTCCCAAGAAGGAATTTTTGCCCCCTGGGAAGTACGAGGACCCTCCTTGACAAGTCATAGTTGAAAGCTATGCTTGTCTTTCCTACTGCCAAGCATCTCTAAATAAAAGAGCAAATATTGACAGAAAGCAAAAGAGAATGGAAGATGCTGAAGAGCTGAGTGCCAGATCATATCAGCACTTTAAACCCATCAGCCACCAGGCCCCACCTCACCCACAGAGCTCCCATGACAGTGGGATATCCAGCCATATGATGAAGGATCTGGAAACCATATTCTGTGCAGAAAAACTGAAGAATGGGGGACAAGAGGGAGCTTCACATGGAAAAGCAAAAACACAATAACTTTCAAATATTTGGAAGGCCATCAGTTACAAATGCCAGTAGACTCAGTATCTGGTTAAAGGCAGGAAGGAGGGAGGCTGTGGAGTCAGACATATGCAGATCAAATTCTGGACCAAGGTCAAGGTCTTTATAATTAAGGTGCTCCATCAATAGAATGGGGTACTTAACCACCTAATGAAAGATCCCCTCCCCCATCCCAGGTGGAAATGACAACTTGGGGACAAGGAAGAGTTGCACTGGACAGAGGCTGTTAGTCACCCACTTCTAAAATTCCCAACCATCCCTCAAAACTAGAGGGTTTTATAACAAGACAAAGGAGTCCTAAAAGGGGTGGATTCTCCTAAAACAAGAAATCGCTTTCAATATTTAAAACTCTAAGCAATAGCTCTCATGTTTTAAGGAATATTTAACTCTGCCAGATTCTACAAAACCGTCATTTGGAAAGTCCCTTGTATTCTGGAAAATGTCCTTTGTTTAAGTGGTTCTATAAATGGACTAGATGTACTCTGACTGCAGTTGGAGGAGCTGGTGTTCTAGAATCGAGAGGGATGTCAGTCCCTCCATGCCTCCGTGACGTCCCGTCTCTTAATACAAGACGACAGCTGGTCTCTGAGGGCCGAGCCCTCCAAGCTGACAGAGACTGGTGGCATGGGAACTCACTAAAGACAGGCAAATTATAAGACTACATTTTCATTTTTCTTTAGCAACAAGTGAATTCCTGTATAGCGCTCATTTTAAGCCACGGGTGATGGCACATCAGGAATCAGAAAATCAACCTCCTGGGTCTCAATCAACACTTTAATTTTATTTAGTTGTAGTGAAATAGAACATGATAGGACAGAATGGACTAGAAAATAACAGAAAGCGCTACACACAGCAAAGGCAATCACTGATTCATGGAATTTTTGCTTTAGTTAAGAGAGAGAGAGAGTGAGTGTGTGTGTGACGTGAATCAATTTCTTACCTCTGTTGACTAAAAGAAGTCAAGCTTGGGGCTTGGGACACAGCCATGCAGAAAGAGCAGAGAACAGACACTCGTGGTGGAGAAAAGTTTTAATGACACAGCCAACACTACAATCACACTTGGCTCTCAGACAACTTGATCTTTGGGACTATGTATGGAGTCAAGCCAACATTCCAACTTCTAGAAGCAGGAGGAGACAGGGGCCAAGATATCTACATCTCATGATCAAAGTACCTTTTAATTCTTCTTAAATAATAACCTTCATTGCTCTGGCTTCCAAAAGGGCTCTAATCCCAGGGTCCTACTTCTCTTCCATGGATATTCTCTTCACCTGGGCCAGTTTAAACAGAGGCCACCTGTGACAGCAGCCCCTTGGGTCCCTCGGCAGTCTCTAACGTACAATATATACAACTAGATCTGTGCAGGCAGGGGACACGCAGGGCAAAGGACCGCTTTGGTGCTGCTGGTTGGGGCGGTGTTTCCTCACTGGATCTTGGTGACTGCTTCATGGATGGAGGAGGCCACATAATCTAGATTCTTAGTGGTTAAACCGCACATGTTGATCCGACCACTGGGCAGAAGGTAGATGTGCTTCTCGTTGACCAGATACTCCACCTGTTTGGCTGTTGAAAACCAAGAGAGGTATAACTGGAGCAGGAATCCTTGAAGAAACACAAGTTCAGAGACTCCAGGATAATGACAGCACACCTTCTTTCCCTCCAGCATGGAGAAGCAAAACAAAAGGAGCCATATTTTTCCAGGTGACATGTAGGGAAATACAACTCAATAGATTCTGGAAAATAAGCTTGACAGCTAAGTTTCTGATGCCAGAAAGCTCCCTGTGGCTCCTCCTAGTGGGAATTTTAGTCTGGGAGCACATCCCAGCCAGAGTTTGCATGTGACAAGCACTGGGACAGCCCTATGAACTGCAACAGCCTCAGCCCTCAAATATTCCACCGTCATGAAAGACCGGTGACAAAGGGCTTCCTTTATCTCTTCCTTAACCTGGACTTGCTTATTCCCAAGTGCCCAGCAGCAACCTCCCTTTGAAACTTCATTTTCAGAATTCAGTGGAAAAGGCCCCATGCCTGAGAGGTGCTGAATAAATTATGCATGAACACCAGGTTGAAAATCCATGAGGACCCCAGGGCCTGCTGCTTCTCGGCTTGCTCATTCAGATGCATGCAAGGGGCGCTCCATGTGTTTGCAGAAATGCTCCTGCACGAAGTAGGAAGCAGCTGCCTATACTTCTTTTATGCCACAATTTCTAGAGTTTTTTGCTTTATTGCAAACCCATTAACGAAATTTTAGCTGATTTTTGCTTCACTAGGATCAATTTGAGGAGATGGGATAATTAATAACTTATATAAATTTAACAAATAAATTTAAAATTTATCTGAAAACATAAAATGAAAAATAATAATTGTTATGTACATGGTGTTTATGTTCCTCCAAAATTCATGCATTGAAAGCAGCCATGTGATGGTCTTAAGAGGTGAGCATTTGGCAGGTAATTAGGTTTATTTGAGTAAGGCAGAGGCCTGCGTGGGATTACTGCCCATCTAAGAGACCCCTCTTTCACCTTTCTCCTTCCCTCACCCTCCACCCCATCACCACCTGGTCAGATACAGCAAGACAGACATCTACAAGTCAGAGCCCTCACCAGAACCTGCTGGCACCCTGATCTCAGACTTCCCAGCTTCCAGAACTGTTAGGAATCTCTGTTGCTTAAGTTACCAGTCTGTGGTCTTTTTCTGACAGCAGCCTGAGTTGAGTAAGAGCAATGAAAACATAATAATCAGAGGAACAAACGCCATGTGCCAGACAGTGTTCTAGCACTTTATAAACTCAGTGCATCTTATTATCATCTCCATTATCAGCCCCATTTTACAGATGGGCAGAGGGAAGTTAAATGACTGTCCCAAGGTCACACAGCTCTGTCAGTGGTAGACCTGGGATTTTAAGGTGGCAATGCCACTCCTGAGCAGGGGCTCTTGGCCAGGATGTGATGCCACCTCTGTACAGCGGGGCCCTTCTGACCCAGGGCCCCCTCTAGGCAAACAGCGCCTGTCAGAAGTAGCCTTTACTAGCTTTAACTGTGTGAACTATAGTCACCCAGGGAGATAGCACCTAACCTCACACACCCACAGAACCACAGGCACACCACTATTTGGAAGCCTAAGCCCCAAAGGCAGGGATTGCGGGTACAAGGTCTACTCTGTTTTTGTTTTTTTTTTTTTTTTTAATCAAAATAAAGCTCCACTTCTGTTGTGGAAGGGATCACAGTTGAGAAGTTATGAACTCCTCCCCTAGGAAAAAGTCAACTGCACACACATAATACTTAAAATATAATTTTAGGGGCTTTATAAATCTCCTAAAACTCATCCATGGATTTCAAGTTAAAAGCCCCTGTTCTGACAAAATGTGAGAACATGAGAATTGCAGAAACTAGGTGGTGGGTGTATGGGGGTTCACTGCATAAGTTCTCCAACTTCTCTGTATATTTAAAATGTTTTCGAATAAAATATTGGGGGTAGAGGTGGAGAACCCAATTTTGAAAAAAGATAAGTGGAGCGAAGTAGAACAAAATGGTTATTTTATTGGGAGGCATCCTATCTTGTGAGTTTTTAGAATATTACTATGTAACACCATTCCCATTACACTTCATATGTTTTAAGCTACATAAGAAGGCTCTTACTATTCAAGTGAACTAATTCTCCATTCCAGAGTCATGAGGACACCTACAGCTAGTTGGCCTATCCCTTTACTGTTTTGGGTAGTTCTACCTTACTCCAAAGTATCTCAGAGGGGTTTATAATCCATAGTCTTTACCAACTTCTTGTTAATACTGATTTCCTTTGGCTTTTTCCAAGCCTGTTTAAAATAGGCCCTCTGATGGCCCTTCTTGCCCCACTGGTGGTCAGCTCACACCCAAGTCAGGCACACCCAGGGCCACGAGCTCCCCTGAAGGTGAGTGGCGACATCTGCACCATGTGACCGGTAGTTAGCAGGTCCAGGCGTTACTATTACGTGAATGTAATAGTAGGGAGGCCAACTATTTGCCCCACTGGCCACTGACAAAGACCCTATGGGGCTGCCCACTAGATTCTCAATAGGCTCTTCACCCTGCTCCCAATCTGAGTCACTTATGAAATAAAGTGATGACTGTGCAACATCTTTTTGAGGATAATACCTGGAGATTACAAAAACCCTGTGAAGAAAGAAGATCCCTGAAAAATCATAGGTAACAGTCTCACTTAGGATTAAGGAAAAGCCAAAAGCACCAATGAGAGACCTTTCCAAAGTGAAGACTCCAAGCCACAAATCCCGTTACCTCCCGGCTGGCTCTGACCACTTCCTGGTCCACAAAAAATAAAAATGCCTTAGCTCTGAGTGAGCAGGGCCGATGCGACAACACTCTGGGAGAATCAGGGGTTCAGGAGATGGGTGGGACTGAGGCGAGCTAACAAGGTCTGGCCTCAAGTCAGGGCTGATCATTTGGGAGACAGAGAATGGAGCGGAGCCCCAGAGCTGGGGTGGGGGGAGGGGCTGGGTCTGCCTGCACACACACCCTGAGGTGGTGGGGGCCACTTACAGTTCAACCCCGTGAAGCTGAACATCCCAATTTGATCGGTGATGTGGTTCCAGGTCCCGGGGGTCTTGAGGGATTCTAATCGTGACCTGAGCTCAGACCTCATAGTCAGAATCCGGTCGGCCATCGTCTTCACGTTACCTTTCCTGAACGAAGAGCGACATGAGTATCAATTCAGCGGAGAGAACTTCAAAACTGATTTAACCGATAAAATAAAAACAAGATCACGACCTGCCTAACATGGTGGGTGGGTGCCTGGACGGGTGGGTCGACAAACCGAGAGAAAAACTGACCAGGCAGAAGAAAGGACTGTATTTATGAACAGAGTGAAGTGTCTGTCTGGGGTATACTGCCTGCAACACCACTCAGGCTTCGCTGAGGTACTGACAGACAGGATGTTTATCAGGTCTAAGGAAGCAAAATAAGATTATATGTAAACTAGAGAGAATGACGTGCCCCCAAATTGTCACACTGACTTGCATTGGACCTTCTCTCCGCAGACCCTCCCTGTGTCTCCCAACGTTTAGGGGAGGAAGCCTGGCTGGTGGACAAGTGCGGGAAGCTGCCACTCCCCAAGCACCTTCTGCGTCCTGTCAGTGAGCACATGTTGTTTCACATATGCGAGTAGGTACCAGCCCAAGTCTACAAAATGTGTGGCATTCTAAGTTGTTGGGGTAACTTTGTGCTGCCTCTGCCTACGTGGAAGAGCCAGTGACATGGACAGCAGAGTGACCCTTTGCACACCCAGGCCTCGCCTCCTTACCATTCCTTAAAGAGCTCAGGGCTGGAGAGGGTGCAGGCCACGATTCGTGCTCCCTGCGCGGGGGGATTGGACCAGGTAATCCGCACGATCTTCTCCATCTGGGAAAGGACCCGCAGGATGCTGTCGCTCTCTTTGGAAACCACGGTCAGATTCCCCACTCGCTCGTCTAGAGAGAGGGCTGAGAATCAGTCCCGGAGGCCCGGCGGGGGCGAGGGAGGACTGGGCTGTAGCTCAGGAGAGCACTCACTGTAGAGCCCGAAGTTCTTGGAGAAGGACTGCGCACAGAAGAGCTCGAATCCTTCAGACACAAAATAGCGAACAGCCCAGGCGTCTTTCTCCAGGTCTCCAGAGGCGAAGCCCTGATAGGCTGAGTCAAAGAAGGGGAACAGAAACCGGCGCTGCAAGGAAGGAGAGTGGGTCAGGGCAGGAAATCCTTCTGGAGCCAAACTCACACTGGTTTCCTTCCCCCACCAGTCCTGGAAGGAATTCCTAACGCTGTCTGCTTCTCTTAATTCTCTTCTTTCTGCATCCAGCCACCATTCTACATGTGCTTCTCTGTCCAGCTAAATAATAACCAGCAAGTCTAACAACTTGAGAGTGTCGTATGCTGTCTTAGTACGCCACATTGCCAGCATTTTTGAGGCATGGAGGTCATCTCCTACACTGGTTGACTCTTCCCCATGAGTTCCTGCTGTGATAGCCTAGTGAAGTACGCACTTGTAGCCCCAGGGCCTCATCACAAGCTCAAGGCCATTCTGCATTCTCATGACAAAGAAGACAGCATGGACCTTTCCAATCACTCCATCTTCCTCAAAGAGCTCCCACAGTGATCCGGCTGCTCCTGCTGGCCTCCCTCATTTCCCTGCTCCCAATTGTCCGGGCCAGAGACCCGAGTGCATCCTCAGCGCCTGCCTCTGCAGCTCACCCCTCGCAGGCCCTATCACTCATCTTTCCGAGAAGCTCTAGATCCTTTCACTGCCACCGACTTCATTCAGACCATGACCAACACCTATTTAGTTCATGACATAGAGCGCCCATCTGCTCTCCCAGCCTGTCTAGCCCCGCATCCCTCTGATCCACTCCCCGTATGCAGTCAGGGTGACTCAAGACAGCACACATCCAGTTGTGCCATGCCATGCCCTCAGATAAAGTCCAATGTCTCAGCACAGGCTGGCCCCCTCTAGTATTACCCTTCACATTCCCCGAACTCACCTGGGTCTTTAGGCCATAGCAAAAATCACTGCTGCTTCTTCAAATGGGCCATGACCTACCACCCTGCCTGTCTTCATTCTTCAAATCTCAACTTGGAAACCACTTCTTCCAGGAAAGCGTCTTCTGCCACTACCACCACCCTCCCAACACACACAGCCTCCCCAAAGTCTGGGCTACGTCCCTCCATGTAACCCCAGCAACAGAGCTGTGCCAAGTGTTTGGTTTGCTTTGTGCACCACTGTGCCTCTCCTCACAGTACCTGGCATGTAATAGCTTCTCAATGGGTTTTCTTTGAACATGTCAGCATATGAAGAATACCTATGCTCCAAGCTAGAAATCCTAATCCAGAAAGTTATCCCAAATAATAATAAAAAGGAGTCCTATAACATCACTATTCACAAGAACAAGAAACCAGAGAGCTAAACGTCCATTGACTGACTTAATCCATCCTTAATGGGACATGCCCATGAGAAACAATATTACTAGCCATTTAACGCCACGTAAAGGAGCATAAGGGAAAAGCAAAGGATGCCTCAAATAGCAGAGACAAAACGATCCCATCTTTATAAGATATATATATACATGTAACTACACTAAACAAAAGACCAACGGATGGATATTCTGTATTCCAAAATGTCAACAATGGCTTTCTTTGGGCACGAGGACTTACAGTTAATGTTTTTCTTTGGGCTTTTCTCCACTTTCAAATTTTTTAGAATGCAGGTACTGCTGTGGAACACATTAATAACACATACAGTTTCTCACGAGGTGGTCTGAAAAGGCAGTTACCTTCATGACAACAGCGATCTTCTTCCACTGCTCCGGGGTGGGGTCAGTCCCGGTGGGGTTGTGTGCGCAGGCGTGGAGGACAAAGATGGAGAACTCGGGAGCATTCTGAAGAAAAGGGAACCGCGTCAGCTCTGCCACAGGCAGGAAGGTGCCACAAGCAGGGAAAGAGTCAGGGGCACACAGGTCGGGGCACCTGGCCCCCACTTAAGTTCTATCTCAAAAACCACCACCTGGTTTGGGAATGATCCTCACACTGTCTCGCTTATCAACAGATCCAGATGCTTTCCCCTGTTCCCCGACACCACAGGGTTCTGTTTACTCTTCCTTAATCACCTACCTCCAGATCATTCAGGAAGCCCTCAAGGTCAAGTCCTCTTTTTGCTGCATCCCAATAGTGATAGGATCGAATGTCTTTAAATCCAGCAGCGGCAAACACAGCATTATGGTTCTCTGTAAGCCAAGGGGTGAAATGTTAAAGGCCTTTACCAACTCAAAGAGGAGTGACAGGAAAGGATCCAGCGATCCTTTCCATCCAATGATCCTTTCTACTCAACAATCAAGGTATTCCGACGACGTGCCAGCTAATCCAAGGTAGGGTTACATTTCCTATGTGAGTAGTGCAAGTCCCAAGGATAATTTCCCCAGCTTCTGTTTCTCCTCATACTATGGCTAAAGGACTCACCCCACGTAGGCGAGGACACATAGACGGGCGTGTCCTTGTTGTTTGTTCCATTGTACCACCGCGCTAGGAACTCGGCTCCGATTCGAAGTGCACCCGTTCCCCCCAAAGACTGCACACCTCCTACCTGAAAGAGAAGAAGCAGGGTCACTGCTGATGATGGTGAGGTCAGATAATATTAGGAAAAATACAGTAATAGTGAGTGCTTACTTTGTGCTGCTGTGGCAAGTCCTTAAAATATATTATCTCACCAAAACCTCGTAACTACATGAAAAAATACCATTAATTTCCTGTGTTCACACATGAGGAAACTGAGGCTAAGAGAAGAGAAGCACTGTGCTCAGAGTCACCAGCTAGTGAGCCATAGGGCTGGCTCTTCAACCCAGGAAGTCTGGCTCTTGGGGGAGCCTCCCTTCTGAACACAGAAATCGAGGACATTCCTGGGCCACACTGGAGTATGACCTGCAGGGCCAGCCCAGCCTTTTAGCACATGTTCCGATGTCAAATCTGCCCTGATAGAAGCCTGTTAAGGAGTGTTCCCAGCCAGCCAGGGTTATCAGCTTGCAGTAGGGACGCAGCAGCAGGGGCACAGGTGGCACTGACCCAGGCCTACCCTCTCCAGCCACTCCGCCCTAATCGCTGTCCTGCTTGTGTTGCTTTGATTTTGTCCTTTCACAATTCTAAGGAGGTTTCAGCAATTCTTTCAATAGAGAAATGTCATAAATTACATGCTGCTTAATATGTCTAAGGGATTAAGGAGAAAGAAAAAGATCACATGAGAAAGTCTAAAGAAAAGGGCACATGCCAGTCTGGTAACAGTCGCAACCTCTGTGGATGCGGGAACAGGGCTCAAAGTCTCTAAGGTTGCTTTTTAAAAATGAGGAGACTGTATTCATACATTACTTGTAAATGTCTGGGGCTTGCTATAAAATAACTTGGCAGGAGGGACAGGAGTATACAAGATGGGTCATATACAGATCATTGTTGAAGGGAGGTGATGGACACATGGGGCATTACTCATTAGCCTGTTTTATCTACTTTTATGTACATTTGAAATATTTCATAATAAAAGGGGTTTAAAACAATCAATAAAGAAGAAAAGTTTCCAAAATCTTTTCAAAAACAGAATTTGCTAAAAGGTAACAAAGGCAAACCAAGGGAAAGAAAAAAGGGAGAGACCTAGTTCTTTCACAAATATTGCTACAACCTTTCCAAAGAAACATTAATGAGCAGCATGAATTCAGTAGAACATTAAAAAATACCCCCTTGATCATGTCAGAGTCCTCCTATGAATGCAGGACCACTAAGAAACATTATAAAATGCATCCTGCTGCGAGAGAAAACCAAATGCCCTTAACGGATGAGAAAAGCAGAGCTGTCCTGATGCAAATGCTCAGTGAAACAGAAACAATGGATACTTCCTCACAACAAATGGAAAAATTCATTCAACCTGCAAGTCAGCTTCACGATGAATAATGAATTATTGGCAGAAGTCTGTTTTATAAGTTAGTATCAAGGCAAGGGCACCAATGGCACCCTTTTCTCCCCCACAATTCTATTTGTATTCAGAGATCCGAGCACCTGTGAAAGAACCCAGTCTGAAATGTGTCACGTAAGGAAAAAAGGGAGCACAGCTGGATGCCGCAGACTGGAGCGAAGGCAGTGGTGGTGGTGGGGCTGGAAGTGTTGGGCACCAGTCAGGCTCAGAGCACTAACTTTTCTCTTCTTCACAGGGACCCCTACTGGGCACAGATCCATTTCATGACCTTAAAGGTTCTGCCTCCACATTGTGGGTTCTTTATGCAAATCATTAACAAGATTGTGTAACCCAAACACGCATTCATGTCTCATGGGTTTGTCATCCAGCTAAGTTGACCGTCAACTTTACACACTAGTTCACATTTCAGATAGACAAGCAATTCTGGAATGTTAGTACAACCTGGATAAATGTGTGAGGTTTCCCTGAGCATGGTTTTAAGTTATCATGGAAACCAGACAGGTGCACAGGGACATGGGTGAAAGCCTTCCAGGCCTAATTTTTTTATTTTCTGTGCTCAGTTTTTAACTCCACCTTTTCTCTCCCACTTTAGAAAATAAATTCATAAGTTAAAAAAAGTTGGAAGGTTGGTAGACTATACTAATAATGGGATAAACAGACTTCACAAATTAATCCTTGTCATTCATGAAGTGCATGACACTTGAAATACCAAATTCTCAAGAAATTATCACTCCCTAAAAACATATTGAAGACTGGACAGCTTCAGAGAAACTCAAATTGTTCTAAACTATATCAGCAATGAACAGGGACTCAATATTGCAGCAATTTGGTCACTCTGTGAGGTAAATTGCTCTAGTGCTCAAGAAAGTCCTGTGTGGAATGAAGGAAAATCATAATGTCAAAGGAAGTAAGGACAGACTTCCTCAAAGATTAAATTGGATGTCTGGTCTAGATCCTAAGGTCTGAAAATGGAACAGTAGTCTGAGGCAGTGAGGAGTCCGGAAAATTGGTCTCCTCCAAATGGTTAATGGACCTGGTAATGCTAAATCTTGAGAAAAAAGTCAACAGGAAGACATGGTTCCTGTTTGTTTTCTGGATCATTCATTCTTTCATTCTTACCTCCTCTCCTTCAAGTTTTTGGCTCAAATGGCACTTCTGTACTACCATGACAACACCAGGGGACGCTGTCACCACCCTCACGCCCGCCCTCAGCACTCCCAGGGTGTCCTCCCACTTTACCTCCACATCACTGCTCAGCATTTACTGTAATATGCCATGCCACGTTCTCATTCTTGTTTCTTCCCATGAACAGCAAGCCAGGCAGAGGATATCTGTGTTGTGGTCACCCCTGTGTTCCTCCTTCTAGAACAGTGCCCAGCCCTGCCTGGTGTTGAATGTTCATGTGTTGACTGAACATGAGAGAATCTCTGACGTGTTGGCAGCTAAATGCTAAAGATTTAAGTAAGCGAGCCATGGTTCCTGCATGGGGGGAGGTGTCATCTTCTGAGCGTGAAAGGCTTATGAGGTCACAGAGCTCAGTAAGCACAGTGACTGTTACTGCCAGGTTATGGACAAAGTCCTGGGGTAACTCAGAGGGCTTGGACAGCTATCTCTGCCTGAGAGCAAAGGATTCAGCACAGAGGTGACCCTTGCCCGGGCTCTGAAGGATGCAGGTGGAGGCTGGAGTGAGGAAAGTATGTGTGGCTGGGGGGCATTTCCAGCAGAGGGAACAGCAGGGACAAAGTCTCCAAGTCACAACAGGGCCTGCCTGGCGGGTAGAGACAGCAACAGGTTCTTAAAACAGCAGGACCCCAGGGGCCAGGGTGCACTGGTCACTGGAAGAACAGGATGAAGGCCAGTGACAAAGTGCCACACGCCCAGCTCAAAGTCTGGATTCTACGCCATAGACAATGGAGGAGCTGCTGGGGGAGGGGGCAGAGGAACAAGGAACATAACATGATTGGCTTTGTTTTTGCTAGGGAGGATCATCCTAGCTGAGCTGTGCAGAATGTACTAGAATGGGAAAGAGACTAGAGGCCAGAAATTATTACAAGGATCCAAATGAAATGGTGGTGGGCTGGACTAAGCGTAGCCTGGGGACAGTGAAGATGTCCAGGGAAAGATGAGAGGTGCAGAGTTCATTATCAACTAGTCCCTAAGGTGATGTGGATGCCAGATGGGTGTCCTAAGATGTTAAAAAAAAAAAGTCCTCAATCATTTACAGACTACTACAAAGACTTTAAATTTGTTCTATGACTACAAACACAACAAGAATGAGCCAGACTAAGAGGGAGGACTCTGTTCCACGAGCAACAGCCCCAAGTCTCACAGAACAAAGTGAGTGCTGGCAGAACAGACATATGCCCAGGACAGTAACTGTGTCAGGAATGCACAGGCTCAGAGGAAGATGCTCCCCCATAGGGAGCCTGTTTTCGCTGTCCACAGAATCACGAGTAACCTCAACAGCGCTGCGCAGACAGCCTGCAGCTGCCGGTCTCCCACGCTCCGTTCTTCGGGTCTCTTCCTCCCCCTCTGTTGGAAACACTGAATTTTCAGAGCAACGTGCCAACACCAGCCATAATCTCTCCTCTGCCATTTCTGTCTGTATTCCTCCAGTTCCTCAAGGCAAGTAAGTCGCAGTCTCTCAGTCCAGTTCATACAAGATTGGACCTAATTCACTGCCTAATCATTGCCTGAGCTCCGAGACCGTCACCCTGAGCCTCCCTGCTCGCCTGTACACATCAGAATATGCCCTGAGCAGCCTTCATTTGACCCTGCCATTCTGCTTATCAGGGCATCTGGGCAACAGCCTGTGGGGGATGAAACGTATGACTTCAAGATGCACGAAGGCTGCACTATCGCCCTGGCCCCGGGAGCCACGGGGCAGCTGGTTTCAATTGCACAATGCCTACGTAACTGGCATTGCAAAAACCTGGGCTCTTTGTCGTTCTACTCCTCCAACCAGATTTATCTTCTTCAAACATCACTTTATTGGGTAACTCCTCTGCGCAAAACTGCCATTGGCTTCCCCTGCCCTGGCTGCCAAAATCAGCTTGCCTGAGCTACCCAATGTGTTCCCAGGTAGGCTCATCAGGTAGGTCTCTTGACTAGCTAGACCTGCTTTCATCTCTTGGCGCTGGCCCTGGACCCCCGCTTGAGACAAATGCCCCTTCTTTTTCCTTCCTGTGTACTTTGTAGTTCTCAACCCAAGCTGCGCTTTGGAATCACCTGAGGGGCTTTTAAAAAAATGCCCATGGAGGGAAGGGAATTGGGGGGAAAGGGAGTAAAAGGGCAGGGAAGGGTGGTACCCTCTAAGATTCAGATTTAACTGAAGTGGCATGGGGTCCAGTCATCAGTATGCTTTCAAAAGCAATTCCCCCGTGATATTAATGTACAGCCAGAATGAAGGAAGAGCGTGCTGGTCTCATTTCCCAAGATGTAGCTCAAGTCCCATCTCCAATTCTCACCAGTTTCCCTCTCCTCTGAATCCCACAGCACTGGGGATCCCCTCCATACCACTTCCTGCCACACAGAGCCCCTCTCGTTGTTTCTGCTCCCAGATGTGTTCTTCCACGTGTCTCTAATCATACACAGCCTATGTAGCAGGAAGCATTTAGATGAGAGAAGTTGTAATGCAGGCTTGAGGCATTAAAGAATATTAGAATTGGCAGGAACTTCAGAAGGCAACTAGACAACAGGCTCTTGAACATTGGGGGGGTTGTGGGGGAGGACAGACTACTTTTGAAAACCTGGCAAAATCATGAATCTTCTCCCTGGAAATACATATACACAAAGAACTCTGCATAAAATTTCAGGGAGTCCAGAAGCACCTTAAATGATCCCCTATTCAAGCGCTCCTATGAACCATGAACCATAAACTGGTCTTTTTCTAACATGTGGATGAGATGCAGGGGCTCCAGGAGAAATGCCCAGAGTCAAAGTGGTGGCAGAGCTGGGTCCACACCCTGAACTCTCATTCATGCCACTAAATTCCCTTGGTTTGGCATTGCCACTACTGCTCCAGATCCGCCATCTGATGATCATCTGGGCAAAACTGAACCATCAGAGGAGCCACCTTCTGCATCTGGATGGCCATGTGATGTGCACTGTCGGGTCAGGGGCCTACCACTTAAACCTCCTGCACTAACAGTTCAATAAACATAATACCTAGAACTTGAAATAAGTGGAATTTTCTACCTTTTTTTCTTTTCTTTTCCTTCCCCCCCCCCTTTTTTTACTTTCACAGTTGCTAAAGAAAAACTCACCCGATTCTCCTTGATTGCTGGGCTGTCCTCCCCAAGAGCAAGGCGGGAAGCACAGGTCCGGAACTCGGCCAGGCCCAGGATGGGCAGGTACTCATGGTTTAGGCTATTGTCATTGGCAATCTTCTGCTCCACCTTCCTCACTACAGGCAGAACCCAGGGCTGGCAATCATCTGTACGATAAGCTGGACATGGGATAAAGTTATGTAACAAAGGAGTCTTAGTCTTTGTTCAAGAAAGAGTATGGAACTGTGAACACAGAGTTCTACTGTCTTCCGATCAAAATAGAACTGTGAGGGAAGTTAACATCAAATTCACTCACTCAGTTCACTCATTGCCTGCTTTGGGCCAGGCACTAGGTTAGGTACAAGGACAGAAATGGTTCCTGTCCTTTCAGAACTTACAACTCTTACACCCACAACTGCCAAAGGGCAGAATGCTGAGATAAAACTGGACTATCACAGAGTGGTAGCAAGTAAGAACGCATTTTGCAAAAGCACTCTGCAAACCACAAACTATCCAACAAATGCCCCTCCAATATTACTAGTACACTGAGGTCTCCACTGGCCCAGCAATCTTCTTCCTCCTGCATCTCCCAAGAGATTTAAAAAAAAAAAAAAGGTGAGGTACTACACCTCAAACACAAACAAAAAGATAGAGGGGGTTGGAATAAGATCTACATCTTCCTCCTGGACCAAAAGGTGAGTAAATGTCCCGTGACTGAAGATCCCAACTGGTTACACAATCCCCTGAGCACCCACTTAAACACATCTTTGTCCTCTCTGTGCTCTGACATCAGTGTTTACCACTTCATCTGCTTCACACTTTTATTGATCTAAGTTTATTTCATAATCTTGCTTACAGCAAATTTCTCAGCATTTCTCCTACACTAAAATTATTTTTTAGCCTACTTTGAGTTCTCCTACCCCTGATTTCTTTTTTCCCCATACTACCCTTTGATTATTTTAGGATTATAGCTTTAGAGGGCAGCTGCTTTGGCTGGCATCCAAGACTAGCTCTCTGACTAGGATCCCTACAGAGGTCATTTGCCTCTCTGCTTGGTGTAGGTCTCCAACAATCCTATACTTTTGCAAGACTTTGAAATTGAAATTTTTAAAGTGATTCTGGTTACATTTTATTTAGCTGATTTCTGTTCAGCATTAATTCCTGCCTTAAAAAAAAAAAAAAAAAGCTCACATTTTTAATGATCATGTGAACAACACAAGCTGATTACAGAAAATTTAGAAAAGCCCAGAAAGTAAATATAATGATTAACATGTAACCCCAGCATTCATTTTGGTGTACAATCTTCCAAGCTTTAACTCCCATGAATATATTCTTTTATAAAATATGCATCCTATTGTATGCTGAATTTTCAACATGCCTTTTTCCATTTAAATATGTACCATGAATATTTTTTGTTGTCATTAGCTATTCTTCTAATAAGTGATATGTTCACATGTTCCATCCCACCCAACCCTCCATTTACCTCATTCCAAATTCATTCCCACCATAAACAACTGTTCCTTTTGTATCTTTCCAGAATCTTGGCTTCTTATGTGCCCCCCCACCCCGCCCTTTTACACAAAAGGTATAGTATACCATATGCTATTTTGTTCCTTGGTTTTTCGGGTTGAAGATCTTTTTATATCTGTACATGTGTCCTTGTTCTTTTTTACAGCTGCAGAGCTGATGAATGTACTATAATTAATTTTGCCAATCTCTTGTTGATGGACTTTTGAGTTGTTTCCAGTCTTTGGCTATTATGAAACAATATTTTAGTGAACAACCTTGCACATAAGTCATCTCACATGTATGCAATGCTGAAAATGGAAGAGTGTCAAAAATTTTCAGTTTTGACAGATCTTTCCAAATTGGCTTCCCTAGGGATTTTGTTAGTTTACATTCTTGCCAGCAACGTGCAAGAGTGTCCAGTTCCCTACGGCCTCAGCTCATTGAATTTTTGCCAACATTAGGGGTAAATGGTATCTCGTGATAGCTGTAATTTGCAATTCTCTTATTATTAATGCAATTGAGCATTTTTCACAAATATGAGCCATTTACTTACAACATTTTAGGTGCTAGACAATATTTTTTCTATGCATCATTTTTATGTTGCTTTCAATTATTTGCTACTATAAACATTGTGATGAATGTTCTTATACCTTTACACATATTTATGTGTGTTTCCTTGGAAAAGATTTCTAGATATAAAGTCACTAGACAACAAATAAGACTTTATAAGGTCATTTTTGAATTTGTGTGGGTCTTCAACTCTACCTTGCAGGGATGTGTCATCTACAAATCTGATAAGCATATCAAACTATTAATAAAAATGTGGACAGTGCTCCAGACTGACATAGTTACTAAACAACCAACAGCCACTGGGTAAGTGGCTCTAACTTACAATGTTACACCCCCTGGCCCACCAAACTAATTCCCTTTATCAGGTTTGAAAAACCTACCTTATCAGGTGGGATGTGGTGTTGTCTTTTTAAAAGCTACCAAAATAACTACTTCCAAGAAAGAGTCATTCCTGAAGTGATCTCCCTATCTATGATCATAATGCTACCATTGTTCAAAATGTTCTTGGAATTCTTTTGAAACTGTTTTTCGGGGTGACATGTCGTTATTTTGAATATCCACAATAGTGCCAAATCTTTATCCTTTGAAGGCAAAATTAATTTTTTGAAATAGTATTTGCAATACGCCCAGCACAGGAGGTGGATGAATAAACTGGGAACTATAAATGGAGAATATTTCTAAGCCATCTCATGTGGGAGTCTCACCGGCTTTGAAGCCATTCCAAAAGAGGGTTTCCAGAAATCTGTGAGCCACAGAAGTACACAGGGACCATATCTATCAAAAGGGTACCATTTATATGGACAAGACTTTGAGTGTTCATAGAAAAACCAGTTCTATTAACTTCTCATGTGTATTTGGGTGTTACATATTATGCTATATATGTTTCTAAAAATATATTTGTAAATCTAGTATTATAATTAAATATGAAAGATTTTTTTTTAAAAAAAATGCCATAGTGGGCCTCCCCTGGTGGCTCAGCAGTTGAGCACTGGGCTGCGAGGGTGCCCGCAGCCTCTGCAGCACTGGTTCGTTCACTGGCCGCCGGCGAGGGTCCCACAAAAAAAATAAAATAAAATAATAAAAATAAAAATAAATAAAACCCACCATAGTGCCACTGTTCTTACCAATATTGTGCATTCTGTGCAATTCTAAAGAAATCCTGCAATACAGCATGGATGGGGCTGGAAGGGATCATGCTCAGCGAAATAAGCCAGAAAGAAAAAGAAAAATACCGGATGGTCTCACTCATAGCAGGAATCTAGAAAACTTAAATAAGGGACCAGGAAAATGAATAACTATAAGAAAGTGAAAATCAAAATCAACAAAAAACTATGAACCAGAGACACTCTATGGGGGTTGGGGCCGGGGAGGGGACGGATTGGGGTCAAAATAAGGGGGTCGCAATTGTATGGGGAATATAAAATTTATAATAAAAAAAAAAGAAATCCTGCAATACAACAGGAGGCAGGTAGGCATGGTATCTATATTGTGACAAATGAAAATCTAGACAATTTATACCTTCCCTTCCTTCTTCACTGCTTTAGTTTCCCCCAGGTTCAGTTTCAGATTTATTCCCAGTGCCTGACCCAACTGCCCTCATCAAGCAGAACTGCAGATTACTCTGGACAGTCGGAGCAAGAGGTCAGGCAGTATCAACAACCACTATTCCTATTCTCCCAGGGGATTTTTACTACTGCCTGTGGGAGCCATGAGTTTCTCAATCATCTTTCATTCACTCATTCATTTAAAAAGGACTTAATAAATCTATCCAGAATCTTGACAGGTTGGAGATCTTCCAGAATTGACTGGAGGTAGCTGCACAGACATAAATGAGATTAAAAAAAATTCTGTTTTCCCTTCCAGGAAATAGACTATGGAGCCCTGATTCTCCTGTGAGGGGTCAGGGAAGATTTTACCAAGGATCAAGTGTGAGAGAATTTGAAAGGAAGACAAGGGAAGGGGAGCACTCCAGAGAGAGGGAACACCTGTGCAAACTCCCAGAGGTTTGGAGAGATGAGGTTTTTGAGGGTCTGCATTTTCATAGCTCTGACACAGGAGGAAGAGGAAGCACCAGGAGTGGCTCAACGAGTCTTGGAGTCTCTTCAAAGAAACTTTGCTTCAATGGGGAAACACTGGCAGCATTTAAGCAAGAGAGTTACATGGACAGCTGCACATTTCTAGAGGGTCACTTGAGTGACATCTTAGAAAATAAAAATGGGGGCCTCCCTGGTGGCGCAAGGAGTTAAGTCACAGCACTATGAAGCAATCTGCAGCCACTGCAGCACAGCACAAGTTCGATCCCCAGCTGGCCAGGGAGCTGACCCTCGCGCAGCAGGCCTCTCCTATCTTGCCTGTTGCCCCCCTCAACAGTGTATTTCAGTCAATGCACCTGTTCTGTTCCCCACTTGTCTCTGGCGAATCCTCTACTCCCCCACCTCACTTCTGGCCTGTACCTCAGCTCTTGTATGCATAAATAAATAAATCTTTAAAAAAAAAAAAAAAAAGAAAGAAAAACAGGAGGAGGACAGGTAGACAGTTAAGCCAGGAGATTACTGAGGTAATCCAGAAAGGAAGTGAGGTCTTGAATTAAGGCAGTGGCAGCAGGGATTTAAAAAAGGGGGAGATATTTAAAACAGATTTTTAAGGTAGAAAACACAAAACCTAATGGCAAAATAAGTACATATAGGACCAAGGAAAGGGCTATTGATAGCTCCAAGGTCTTTCTCAGGTCTGGATAATGACTGCTGATCATTATAAAACATAAAGGAAAGAAAAAAAAAATTGAGGGGAAGATGGAAATGCTAAGTTGTTTTAAAGATGTTAGGTTTCAGGTGCTTGTCCAACAAACTGTAGCAAGTACATGCCCAGCTTCAGGAAAGAAGTGCAGGGTGAAAGTAAAGGTTTTGTAATTATAGACATTAATAGTGGCTGAAGCCATAATAATAAGGAAACTGAGCCCAAAAAAGTTGAATAATTTCTTCAAGATCACAAGGATTATAAGAGCTATGCTGTTTCATACTATGAAGTTCTTGCATCTGTGTGCTTTTTTTTTTTTTTTCCCCCTCCTTTAAGAGCAAGAAGCATTTAGGGAGAACATGGAGCAAGCCGGCCCCAGAGGATTGCTGTAGGAGGTCTTTTTATCAGTATGCTCCCCAATTCCATGCACTACTGCCCTCTTCCTGGGTTCAAGCCCCTTTAGAGGAGTCACACAGGTTTCAGGGGTGTCCGGTAGTCTTGCTTTCCAGAAGAAAAGAAGAAAAGAACTAAAATGATCAAATGGTCGCCCTTGTGTTCTTCCTAAAATTTCCAATTCCCCCACCCATCAGTTACATCTCTGAGTACTGCAAGGGGTGGGGGAGATTCAGAAACACCTGATACAGCACATCTTTCCAACAATTTTATCTGAAGATGTTAGATAACATTTTAAACAACCAATATTACAGCAAGCCAAAGGAGGCTGGGTTTACGTGATAAGCCTACTGGAGCCTACGAAGAAATCTGCTCAGGCTGCAGTCATCAGCAGGTTGGAGTCAAGCCTCCCCCGCTTGGAAACCCCTTGCCTGACACTTTGAGAAGCACAAAAACAGTCAACTCAGAGCGCATCATACTGCACAGTGGAAAATGCAATGCTCTGGTACACTATTAGGAAATGACTAAAATAATCCCAGGCAGAAGAAAATCTCTAGGGAAACTATTTGCAAGGAGGAACCAGCTGACAAGATTAGAGGTGCAGTTTATTTTAAACACACCCAGCATCACTTCTTACTAGGAAGTTATGAGCTCGATAATGTCCACTGGGCTTTAACTTGGCGGTGGGGGTGGGAGGAAAAGCATTGGCCCCAAATCCAGTGATTGGTTTCCTTCCCTTCACAAAAATGATTCTTTGAGATGTAAGTTGAGTTGGGACATACAAAAGTTGGAAAGAGACCTTGTATTCTATTCTGTGTTAATTAAACCCTTCTCCAAGCTCATCCCATCCATAAAAAAGCAAGTCACAGTGATGATCAAAAACAATATTTACATAATATGTTTCACTTTCATATCCCATTTCACAAATAATTATTCATTTACTCTTTAGTCAACTGGAGGCAGGTAACATTATCCTACCCTACAGTAATGTCATGTGCTAGTGAATCTTAAGAGCAGAATTGTAGAGGTTATTCAGTCCTGGCTCCTCACTTAATGCACCAAGACCCTGGGGATGTTAAATAATACTCCCAAGGTCACACTGCTGGACCACAGGGCTGGGCCTGTCCCCACTACAGTGCTGGCTGCCTCTGTACCACCTAAAGATATCAAAATAGAGACAGGGGCAGAGTTACCCTGGGGCTTCAGAGACCTGGCCTGAAATCCCAACTCTGCGCCCCACTACTATATGACTTGGGGCAAACTGCTTCCTTAATCTGGGCTTCAGCTTCCTTACCTTTAAAACAGTAACAAACAACCACCAGAGTGGCATAAGCACTTAATGACATTAAATGCAGAAATCATTTACTCATAGTAAGGCGTTGAAAGGAGTAAGTTCCTGGAAAACATAAAGGTGACACACACACCATGTCCTCAGCCAATCACTTGTGGCCTGGGCTGGAAAGCTGCTTTTTTCCTTCACGAGCCATTTATTTCTGAACCTACGTCAGAAATTATTTCATTCTGTAGTTCTTGGACTGAGAATTTTTATTTAATATCTTTTCAAGCAACCTCAAAGAAATGTCAAAACAGCAATGTGAGAGTAACAGCCAATACTTATGTAATTCCTACTAAGGTGCCAGACAGTATTCTACGTACTCTCAATGTATTTATGCCTCACCAAAATCCCGTAAGACAGTACCCAGGTAATTTAGCCAATAAAACCTGAGGTTTTAAAAAGATGTACTAAGAAAAAATAAAAATAAAAATAAAAAGATGTACTAAGATCAAATCAATATTAGTTCTTCACTACATATCTGGCCCTAAAGAAATACTTGGAGATTTAGATTGGATTTAAATTAAGAGCTCGAATGGCATTCATTCCAATTCAACTCAAGACAATCTTTCAATTCTCCCACTCTAGTAGCACTGACTTTTTATTTAACCACTTTATTGTGGAAAATTTCAATATATGAAAGTTGTGAGAATTATATAATGAATGCCCAGCTTCAACAAATTACCAGCTTCAACAAGCCATTATTTTTAATAGCTTTTTTCTTACCCCTCCCTCAAGGCTCCTTGGTGCAGATTTTTTTTAACAGGTCCTTCCTAGGTACACACACAGTCAAGTCACCAGAAGCCTGATTTTTGAACCTCCTCCTCACTAGCCTCTGTATGAAACAGTTCAGTTTTCTCTTTCTAAAATTTCCAGTCCTTTCACTCTAAATCCCTAGCTTAAGTTCTCTAGCATAAGACATCATCCTACTCATTTTCTTCTCCCTGGATGGTCTTTGTATGTGACAAAACCCAAATCCAGAAAAATGTCTGTGAAGTTTCAAACATCCAAATGATGATGACAGAAATAACAAATTCACCAGAGAAGATTAGAGTCGAAAGGAATCTTTAGACACTCCAGTCCAAATCTTTTGCTTGACAGATAGGGAAACTGAGGCCCATGCTCTGAACTGTCCAAGATCCAAAAATAGAAGAAATGAAAGCAAGAATGCGCGGGCAACGAGTTTCTACTGCCCATACTCTCCACTCCCTTTACCCATTGCCACTGCATCTGTGAGGGCGAGAACATTCCTCCCAGATCTCACCAGGCAGCATCAGCCTCTATCAGCAGCATTTTAGATCTCTAGCAAAGCGCTTAACATCTGCTTATTTTGATTTTCTTGAAGACAAAATCAAGCCTCACCCTTCCTCGCTCCCCAGGCTTAGTAAGCACCTGGCGGTCACTCAAACACTCACCCACCCAGACCAGAGCTCCCTACGGCTGAGTTCTCTTCTATCCATTCCTCAGCACCCAGCACCCCGAGCCTATCAGGCGTCCTACTTTCCTGTCCGGATTACAATCCCTCGCCGTCCCATTTCTTAAGAGTCAAAAGGAGTAGTGTAAGAAACAGAGGATGGAGAATCGGGAAAGCTCAGCGTGTACCCTGCCCGCTACCCCAGATCTGTGTGATCTTGGGCACAGCGCCCTTTTCCAGTAATTTAATATCCCCATCCATAAAATGGGCGGGTTGAACTCCGCCTCATGGATCACGCCTCCTCCCGGGGGTTCCCCTTTGCAGGCAGCACCCAGATGGACACGGGCTGCTCCCACAGGGCTGGGTCCGCGCCACTCCCCAGGTAGCGCGCGCTCCGGACACCGCATCCTCCTTACCTCCCACTCCCAGGTTGACCTTGCGGGGGTCCGGATCCTCCCGGAAGTCAGCAGTGAGCTTAAAGACAAGGACGGGCTGAGCCTGCGGGACCTCAGCAAAGATTGACGGCCGCGCCATAGCTAGAGAGTAGGACTTGGCTGAGAGCCTGCAGCCTGCGCCGGGAGCCTCTGGGTTGGTCTGGCCGCGGCGCTGGAGGAGACTCTCACCTTCACCTAGTCGCCGGGGGCGGGCCCGCGGCCTCCAATGAGCAGGCCGCGTCCGGAGCTTGGCAACGCGGTGAACCAATCGCGAGCTAGTGACGCAAAAAGAGCCAGGCGGGAGGGGATGCTATTAGCCAATCCAGTGAGAGTATCTTCTCGGAGGCCGATTATGATGCCGCCAATGTAAGGTACCTTGGCTTAAGTGGGGGCGGGAGCTAGGGCTGATTGGCAGCGTGTGCTCCTATCGCTGAGACTGTTATTCGCGCTGAGGGGCGGGGCGTAGCTGGTGGGCGCTGGAGGCGGCCTCCTCGACCTTCCAGGGCGGGAGAAGGGGGAGCGCAGCCCGCGGGAATTCCGGGGGACCGGCCTTCCGGTACCCGCGGAGCAGGTGTCTCGCTGCCAGTACGGCTCTGGCCCGGGCTGCCCGCCAAGTCCCTGGCGTCCGCGCTCGCTCGGACGCGAGTCCTGGGCCAGGACGTGCAGCACCGGAGTCCGCGCGGGCGACCTTGACCACCGCGGCGGGCAGTTCTCCCCGAGGGAAGTGTGGGTGGGCGGCCGGCCTTGCTCTCTGACGGGGAGCGCCCTACCACACGTGAGGGAGTGGCCTGGAATGCCTTGCTGCTGCTCTTGTATACTTTGGGGTTTGTGCTCTGCTTTCCCCACCGAGGGCCTGGACCTCGAGGACCTTCAGGATCTGGGCGCGGCCTCCCTTCCCAGTTTTCCGCCCCCTCCCCGCTCAGCCAGAACTTGCTGTCCTGGGCTGGCTGACGCCCAGGCAGCCTCTTCTCTTAGGCAGGCTCTCCCGTCCCCCTGCTGCTCCTTCCTCCCCAGCCCCCTCGCCACCTATTGACCTTCAAAGACCCAGAGCAAAAGGCCTCAGCCAGGAAACCTTTCTTTTACCCTCACTCTGACCCAAATCTATGTCTTCCTGTGTTCTGTACCTGGTCGACAGTGTTAACCGTTTGAGAAAGTGCCCTAGTTAAGAACCTGCCTCTGAAGCCAGGCTACCTGGGTTTAGATTCTGGCTCGCCACTTACTGACTTAGGCGGGTTTAGGCGTGTTACTTAACCTCTCTGTTCCTGCGGTGTCAAGTGGAGATAATAGTATTTTCCTCAGGAGGTTGTGGGGATATGTGAATTAATACGTAGAAAGTGCCTAGTTGCATATAGTAGGCATTTCCTAAAGGTTAACTACTGTTGTCATCCCACACTAGCCACACTCTGTCGATGGCAGTTTTTGACTAGAAATCTTACCCTGTATAAGCCTCCCTCAGTTTCAGAGCACTTAGTAAGCCCTCAATAATTAAGGTGGAAGCAGGCCGTTCTCTTGGTGTTTCAGAAGAAAACAATAACATGGGCCTTTATTCACTGGATAATAAAAGAAATACCAAAATGAATCTTGCACCCAAAAGAACAAACGCAAGCCTAAAGAACTTTGTGCAACACCTTGCCAACCTCTGTGTCACCTGCAACTTTTCAGAAACTGCCTCTGGTTTTAAAGGTTAACTGTGCAGAGGTTTCATTAGCAGCACTTTCCTCTAAGGTTGAAAGTTCACCACTGAAGGCAAAATGACCATGAACTTCCAGTGATTCCAAAAGCAAGGGCAGAGGGCAATTGCTGAGAGGGGTGTTCTAGAGCCCAGGCTTCCCAGAGCTTCATTTAAAATCTGATCTATCTTCACAGCATTGGCCAACAATATCATGGTCACTCCTGATGTCACTCCCTGGAGGAAAAACAACCCCAGGTTACCTGAACATTCAACTTGACCGAGTCCAAACAAATATTTATTGATCACCCAAGCTGATCCGTAACCACGTCAGTGCTGGTTGGTTAAAGTGCCATGTGCAGTTTTTCTTCATGTCTTCATAATAGCTGTTCTAAATTTCAGGAAAAGGGCAAACTTTTTTTTTTGAGGGGGAGTAGGGTTTATAATACATTTGTGGGATCCAATTCTCAGCATACTTTCTTTAGGAATATGAGTAATCTTGGAGATTCCTTTAAGATCAGTGCTTCTGTCTTGTGCTCTACGGGCTGCCCCTCTAAGCAAAATGCCAATCTTGAAATAAACAAAATGCTTTGCAGGCCATTGCTAATTTTAACACTGACTTAGAATGGTCTCAACACTGTCTTGCTGCTGTTCCGCCTCTTGAGAGGGGAACATCGCCCAGACAAGTAGGCAGCCAGGTAAAGTAAGTGCCCAGGGAAAGGGCAGTAAGGGTCAAATGAAGGAAGGGCTGGTATTCCCCTGCCTCCTCACTTTGTTGTGTCTATTTCTTCAAGCACCCTCTCCTTGACCTCCCTTCGGACTTTTTTCTCTTTTGAAAAGAATTGAAAGAAAGGGAACTGGGAACCACACAACAACAGCTTCATCTGTTGGTGAATTTCTTTAGAATCTGCTCTCTTGGAAGCAGAAGCCTTCAGGACCGGGTAATACTGCCCCATAGCATAAGAGACAGGCCAGGCCTGGGCAGCAGTGGGCACTGTGTGAACCTCTAAGCAAATCCACATTTACTTGTTATACTCAGTCTTGCCCTTGAATACCCGGGACTAAATTTAGGAGCAAGTCAGGGGAGGGAGGGAGTAGTTTATCGTACTGTGCACACAAGCCAAAGTGCTTTGGAAAGGTTATATTTGGGGGTGTGCTGTCAGTAAGAGTACAATATTATTTAGAAGCTACCTTGTGTGCTGAACAAATGTTTCTTTAAAAACCAAAGCTGTAAGAGGAGTTGTTTAAGAGTCACAGTGTGACTAAATAGTAGATGATTGGTGATGTTCAGAACCATAGGTGGTGCTGTTCTCTCACTGTGTTGAATTTCCTCATGCTAAAGAAAGTGATCACTTCATGCTCAGCGAAATAAGCCAAAAAGGAAAAGAAAAATACCGGATGGTCTCACTCATAGCAGGAATCTAGAAAACTTAAATAAGGGACCAGGAAAATGAATAACTATAAGAAAGTGAAAATCAAAATCAACAAAAAACTATGAACCAGAGACACTTTTAGGGGGGCGGGGGTGGGAGGGGAGGGATTGGGGTCAGAATGGGGGGGCTTCAATTGTATGGGGAATATAACAATAAAATTTATTAAAAAAAAAAAAAAAAAAAAAGAAAGTGATCACTTGTCACCCTCTCCCATCAAATTAAAGGGCTTGTTTCCTGTTTGTGCCTTGATGGAACCATCTCTCCTTGCTTCTCATCCCTCACTTTTCTACTCCTTCCATTAAGTGTGGACCAAGTGATGGAAGGTCTCTTAGAAACTCCACACTTAATGGAAGGAGTAGAAAAGTGAGGGATGAGAAGCAAGGAGAGATGGTTCCATCCCAGTCTGCCAGGGTGCTGACCCATGTGCACAGCAGACCTCTCCTGTCTCGCCTGCTGCTCCCCTCAGCAGTGTATTTCAATAGATCTACCTGTTCTGCTCCCCACTTTCTGAATCCTCTCACCCACCCCAGACCCTGTACCTCTAGCCTGTATCCCTGTTCTTGTATGCTTAAATAAATAAATCTTTTATAAAAAATAGCAAATGCAGAGCACAAGAAACCAGTAGTCCTGAAGTCACAAGAAAATTTCCTCTCCCTGCCCTGTTTCTCCCTAAATGCATAACAAATATGACCACTTCTTGAGGAGTGTCTCAAGAAGCTTTATTGGGCCTCTCTGGTGGCGCAAGGGATTCAGCACCGCACTATGAGGTGATCCGCAGCCTCTGCAGCATGAGTTCGATCCCCGGCCGGCCAGGGAGAAACCACGTGGCGAAGCAGACCTCTCCTGTCTCTCCCGCTGCTCCCCTCAGCAGTGTGTTTCAGTCAGTCTGCCTGTTCTGTTCTCCACTCTGTCTCTGGTGAATCCTCTCACCCCCCACATCTCTGGCCAGTACCCCAGCTCTTGTATGCATAAATAAATAAATCTTAAAGAAGCTTTATTTCCCCAAGTCGGGGTATCTTTTGTAATCATTGGGTCATGTCTTAAAATCCTACACTTTGATACAAGACGAAAGTATATGAAGAGGGGCCTCCCCGGTGGCGCAGCAGTTGAGCGCTGGGCTGCGAAGCTGCCCGCAGCCTCTGCAGCACTGGTTCGATCCCCGGCCACTGGCAAGGGTGCCACATGGTGCTCAGACCTCTTCTGCTGCCCCCACTGATCCCCTCAGCAGTGTATTTCGTCAGTCGGCCTATTCTGTTCTCCACTCTGGTGAATTCTCTCAGTCTCATCCAGTTTGAACCAGTCTGAACCAGTCTGAACCAGTCTCATCCAGCTTGAACCAGTTTGAACCAGTTTGAACCAGTCTCATCCAGTCTGAACCAGTTTGAACCAGTCTGAACCAGTTTGAACCAGTCTGAACCAGTCTCATCCAGTCTGAACCAGTTTGAACCAGTCTGAACCAGTTTGAACCAGTCTCATCCAGTTTGATCCAGTTTGAACCAGTCTGAACCAGTTTGAACCAGTTTGATCCAGTTTGAACCAGTTTGAACCAGTTTGATCCAGTTTGAACCAGTTTGATCCAGTTTGAACCAGTCTGAACCAGTTTGAACCAGTCTCATCCAGTTTGATCCAGTTTGAACCAGTCTGAACATTTGATCCAGTTTGAACCAGTCTGAACCAGTTTGAACCAGTCTGAACCAGTTTGATCCAGTTTGAACCAGTCTGAACCAGTTTGAACCAGTTTGATCCAGTTTGAACCAGTCTGAACCAGTTTGAACCAGTTTGATCCAGTCTGAACCAGTTTGAACCAGTTTGATCCAGTTTGATCCAGTTTGAACCAGTCTGAACCAGTTTGATCCAGTTTGAACCAGTCTGAACCAGTTTGAACCAGTCTCATCCAGTTTGATCCAGTTTGAACCAGTCTCATCCAGTTTGAATGGCTTTCAAGGCACTTATATATATATTTTTTTAAAAGATTTATTTATTTATTTACAGAAGCACAGGAGGCTGAGAGAATTCACCAGAGCCAGAGCGGGGAACAGAACAGGCAGACTGATGAATACACTGCTGAGGGGAGCAGCGGGCGTAGCAGGACCTCTCCATGTGGT